CTATGCGCAGCCTCCCTCTCAGGTCTTCTGGTCACCCACCAGACTGTGCCGTGGGGCTTGGGAAGGGGTCTCTTACCTCCTTTGACAGCCCCTGCCAGAAGGGACAGAGAGTTTCATCTATGCTGATGATCGTGCCATCACCACTCAAGCAGGGAGCTTTGAGATGGTTGAACAGAAGCTCTCCGAAGCTCTGGGTGCTCTTACTGCCTATTACAGGGAAAACCAGCTGATCCCCAACCCATCCAAAACACAGACATGTGCCTTTCACCTTAAGAACAGAGAAGCATCCCGAGCTCTGAGGATGATTATCTGGGAAGGAATCCCACTGGAGCATTGCAGCACACCCAAATACTTGGTAGTCACTCTGGACCGTGCTCTGACCTACAAGAAGCACTGCCTGAACATCAAAGTGGGTGCTAGAAACAATATCATACGAAAGCTGACTGGCACAACCTGGGGATCACAACCAGACACAGTGAAGACATCTGCCCTTGCGCTTTGGCTACTCTGCTGCTGAGTACGCATGCCCAGTGTGGAACACATCTCACCACACTAAAACAGTGGATGTGGCTCTTAATGAGACATGCCGCATTATCACGGGGTGTCTGCGCCCTACACCACTGTTTACACTGCTTAGCCGGTATTGCACCACCTGACATCCGCCGGGAAGGAGCAGCCAATAGTGAAAGGACCAAGGCAGAGACATCTCCAGCTCATCCCCTGTTTGGGTATCAGCCAGCATGTCAACGACTTAAATCTAGAAATAGTTTTCTAAGATCTACAGAGACACTCTTTGGAACACCCCAGCAAGTAAGAGTCCAAAAGTGGCAGGCTCAAACCCAGAACCTCAACCCATGGCTAATACCCAATGAGAGACGTCCCCCTGGGCACACAGAAGAAAACTGGGCGACTTGGAAGGCGCTGAACAGACTGCGCTCTGGCACCACGAGATGCAGAGCCAACCTTCAGAAATGGGGCCACAAAGTGGAATCCACAACATGAGAGTGCGGAGAAGAGCCAACCACTGACCACCTGCTGCAATGCAACCTGAGCCCTGCTACATGCATGATGGAGGACCTTCTTTGCGGCAACACCAGAGGCACTCCAAGGGGACAGATACTGGTCAAAGGACATCTAACCAACTACCAAGCTTGCAAAATCTGTGTTTTGTTTGTTTGTTTGTTTTTGTTAAAAATGTAATACAAATGTCTGGTTGCTGATGACACGATAAATAAATAACCTCCTTTGACCCCGTTGTTCTCCCCTCAACCAGGACGAAGAAGAGGAGATCAAGCAGGAGATCAACATGCTGAAGAAGTACTCCCACCACCGCAACATTGCCACCTACTACGGGGCGTTTGTGAAGAAGAGCCCCCCCGGGAATGACGACCAGCTCTGGGTGAGAGGAGGGGGAGGCTCCGGTCGCATCGGGCCCTTTCGATCCTCCTCCCCAAAAGGATGGGTGCCTAACTCTTCCTCCCCCCCCCCCCTCTCCCTCTCAGCTGGTGATGGAGTTCTGTGGTGCCGGCTCCGTGACCGACCTGGTGAAGAACACCAAGGGCAACGCCCTCAAGGAGGACTGCATCGCCTACATCTGCAGGGAGATCCTCCGGGTATGGAGCGGGCATGAATATTACTTATTTATTTAATATTTAAAATATTTACTGTATATACTCGAGTATAAGCCTAGGTTTTCAGCCCCTTTTTTAGGCTGAAAAAGTTCCTCTCGGCTTATACTTGAGTCAAGATTATTTATTAATGAATTCTGTTGTTATTACATTTATCATTTTACTCTTATTATTATTACATTTATTATTTTACTTTATTATTCTTATTATTACATGTATTATTTCACTACTTGAGTTAAGATTATTTATTATTGAATTCTGTTGTTGTTGTTACATTTATCATTTTACTCTTATTATTATTACATTTATTATTTTATTTTATTATTCTTATCATTACATTTATTATTTCACTACTGCCTTGGAAGAGGGAGTTACTGACCTCGCTGTGCCTTCCTCTTCTTCCTCCTCCCTCGCCTTCTCTCAGGGCCTGGCCCATCTCCATGCGCACAAGGTGATCCACCGGGACATCAAGGGCCAGAACGTCCTCCTCACGGAGAACGCCGAGGTGAAGCTGGGTAAGTCACTCGGGAGGAAGGCAGCTCTCTCCATGAGTCCTTCCTTGCTGGAGATGCCTTAGGTGCTCATTGGGAGTCTCCATCATCAACAGAAGAGAGCAAGGCACACACTGAAACCCATGGAGCTTTCTGTCTGAGCCCTGCCAGCCACTCTCTAATCAACGGCATTCCAGAATCATATACAGCAAGCAGTTCATAATGAGGATCAAGCAGGAGAATAGTCAAAAGTCCTTTCCAAAAGAGTCAGTGTCCAATAGGCTCACCACTTTTCAAGATACACACCAAGTCAAATCCAAACACGCTAGTCAAAAGTCCATTCCCGAAGTCACCAACAGGAATACCAGCTGTAGCTCTTCGAAGATGTTGTTGCCAGCAAAGAGCTGTTATAGCCACCAGCTCTTTATGCTACTCTCTAAGGTCATTTCTAATCAGTTGGCCTTTTGGGCCAGTCGATGAGATTTCCTCAGCTGGATGGCATCAACTCTTAGCTGGAGCCAGGCAGGGATAGTCAACTCCTGCTCTTTCCCCTGAAGAGCCTCACCCTGCCCCAACTCTATTTCCCCAGACCCTGGTCTGTCCTGCTCCTTGTTGTAGCCCAACTGCCTCCTTGATCCTTTTTTCACCCAAACACCACACAGATGATCAATATTTATTTATTTGCAGTATTTATATTCCGCCCTTCTCACCCCGCAGGGGACTCAGGGCGGATTACAAGGCACACATATATGGCAATATGGCAAACATTTAATGCCAATTTGACGTACAATATATACAGACATACACAGAGGCTATTTAACTTTTTCTGGCCGCCAGGGAAGCTGTCGCTTTCATTGTCCATCTGCGACACTGATGAAGTACTTCCGCATTCCCCACATGCTTCCCCGCTGGAATGCTGTTGCCGGAGTCTTCTTTATGGCCTCATAAATCAGTTAATTTAGCCTCCCCACACTTTAAGGTGGGACCTAATTTTCCTACTTGACAGATGCAACTGTCTTTCGGGTTGCAAAGGTCCACTCCAACCCAGGCTGGCTTCGAACACATGACCTTATGGTCAGAAATGATCTTAATGCAGCTGACACTCAGCCAGCTGCGTCACAATCCCCAATAATAATATGTTTAGTAAGAAAAGAGTATCTAATATAAAATACAGTTTCAAAATAGTGTTCAAAATAAGCAGACTAAAGTACTAGCAAAATCCAGTATGCAAAAGCAGTTTCAAAGCAACATCCATGAGCTAGATTTCCAGGAGCTTAACCAAAAGCAGTGACCAACTCTGAAGATGAATTCCTAAATTCACCATAAGCAAAAACAAGAAACTGTAATCCGAGGGTTGTTGCACTTAAACTAGAACTATATCCAAAGGCTTGAAAACACAAACATGAACCAGAAGCTTGATACTTGAACTTTACTATAATCCCAAAGGCATGAAATTTGAAACAAAATTTGTAATCCAGACAGGAGGCATGGAACTTAAACAGGAAAGCAAGATCCAGACCCAAGAGCAGAACGCCTAACTCGGAGCTCCCAAGACAAGCAATTTGACCCATGGAAATCCAGTGTTGATCTCCCCATCAAACATTGACTCCCATTCCTTAAGAATACTCCCTCTGGCCCCTGGCATTGGTCTTTTTCACACCTGGGTTCCCTTTGTTTGTCTTTCAGCCTCTGGGAACAATGAATTTGTCTGTGTTTTGCACTATCCCTTCTGAGCTGTAAACACTGGGTTATCGGTAGCCCTCCTGTCTCCTCCACATTCCTTTCAGAGTCAATCCCTGGCCAATTCTCATGAGAATCACTGCCTGTTTCCCCAACAGGAGATCTACCCAAAACATTCCCATTGTCTCAAAAACACATCCACTTTCCCCCACAAAAACATCAGGCTCATCCAGAAAATGCCTGTCCTCATCCTCAGAGGCTTCACAGGCCTCAGCACTCCTGCTCTGTAGCAGTGAGTTCCATCATGTCAGGTCACTGCTCTACACTTGCCCCTGATTCAGATGCTGGGCAAGGACAGCCTTCTTCATCGTCCTCATTCTCCGCAGAGACCCTGACACGTTCTGGGCAGGGAGCATGACCCTTCTACTCTTTCTCTCTCTCGCTGTAGTTGATTTTGGGGTCAGTGCCCAGCTGGACCGCACGGTGGGTCGGAGGAACACCTTCATTGGCACCCCGTACTGGATGGCGCCCGAAGTGATTGCCTGCGATGAGAACCCTGACGCCACCTACGACTACAGGGTGAGCGCGCCCTCTGCCTCTCTCTCTCTCTCTCTCTCTCTCTCTCCCTATCTTACTTCCTGCTGTGCTGACCCTTTAAAAGGCAAACCCCAGAACCCCCAGGGTCACTTTCCAGCCCCTTCAAAACTCCCACATAATCCAGATTGCCCAAGCAGGAAATACACATTTGCTTTTAACTTGATTATATGAGTCTACATTGCCATATAATCCAGTTCAAAGCAGATAATCTGGATTTTAGATGGCAGTATAGAAGCAAGGAGATGAAAATTCAGCAGATATATTTGCAATTTTTCTCTTGGGTCAACTGAGAAAAAGTGCCTCACTAGACTGATCTGTCTGTGGGTTTGATAGCTGACCAGGGTCAGGTTAAAGTACAGTATATTCTGGCGTATAAGACTACTTTTTAACCCAAGAAAATCTTCTCAAAAGTCAGGGGTCATCTTATACGTGGGTGTATTCTTATGCATGGGAGTCGTCTTAACTCTATATTTTAACTGGAAAAGTTGGGGGTCGTCTTATACACCCAGTCGCCTTATATGCCGGAATATACGGTAAACACAAACGCGCACGCAATCAAACCTTTCCCCCTTCCTTCCTACCAGCTCAATCCTTCGGTTCGGCGCCTCTCTGTTCCAAAACAATATTGTTTTCCAAAATAATGTTCCCCTCTTCATGCGCTTCTCCCTCCCGTCCCTTCCAGGCCATTCTGATCACTCTTCTTTCCCTTTCACATACTTTGCCTCACAACGTGATCTTTTCCCTTTGCGCTGCATCACAAGGACTCTAGTGTCTAGATCAGTGGTTCTCAACCTTTCTAATGCCGTGACCCCTAAATAAAGTTCCTCATGTTGTGGTGACCCCCAACCATATTTTCGTTGCTACTTCATAAATAATTTTGCTACTCTTATGAATTCAAATGCAAATATCTAATACGCAGGATGTATTTTCATTGTTACAAATTGAACATAATTAAAGCATAGCAATTAATCACAAAAACAATATGTTGGGGGGAGTATGGACAGTGGATGATGGGATTTGCAGTACCGTCAACCAATTCAGCTCTGACTTCCAGAGACCACTGAGATCCCCCATGAATTACAGACCTGGACCAAACTTGAAACACAGAAGTACCATGACCGACAGAAAATACTGGAGGAGTTTGGGAGGAATTGACGACACCAAATTGGGAGGGAGAGCCAAGACTCCAGAGGACAGGAGCAGAATTCAAAACTATCTTGGCAGATTAGAGAGATGATGGGACAAAACTAACACAATGAAGTTCAACAGGGACAAATGCAAGAGGCTTCACTTTGGCAGGAAAAACGAAATGCAAAGATACAGAATGGGGGATGAGGAGGCCTGGCTCGAGAGCAGGACGTGTGAAAAAGATCTTGGAGTCCTCATAGACAACAAGTTAAACATGAGCCAGGAATGTGATGTTGGGGCAAAAAAGGCCAATGGGATTTTGGCCTGCATCAAGAGGAGCCTAGTGTCTAGATGCAGGGAAGTCATGCCCCCCATGCTCTATTCTGCTCTGGTCAGACCACACCTGGAATATTGTGTCCAATTCTGGGCACCACAATTCAAGAGAGATATTGACTCCAAGCTGGAAAGTGACCAGAGGAGGGCGACTAAAATGATCAAGGGTCTGGAGAACAAGCCCTATGAGGAGCGGCTTAAGGAGCTGGGCATGTTTAGCCTGAAGAAGAGAAGGCTGAGAGGAGATATGATAGCCATGTATAAATATGTGAAAGGAAGCCACAGGGAGGAGGGAGCAAGCTTGTTTTCTGCTTCCCTGGAGACTAGGACGCGAAACAATGGCTTCAAACTACAAGAAAGGAGATTCCATCTGAACATGAGGAAGAACTTCCTGACTGTGAGAGCCGTTCAGCAGTGGAACTCTCTGCCCCAAAGTGTGGTGGAGGCTCCTTCTTTGGAACAGAGGCTGGATGGCCATCTGTCAGGGGTGATTTGAATGCAATATTCCTGCTTCTTGGCAGGGGGTTGGACTGGATGGCCCAGGAGGTCTCTTCCAACTCTTTGATTCTATGACAGTGATTTATGGGAGATGTAGTTCACCTACACCCGGAAAGCACTGTGAACCCAAATGACTATGGACGAGAGGGGAGTCTTCTTCCCCGTGCCTTTGCCTCCAAAGCTCCTCCTCTTGACTACCCACAGGTCTGTGGGAAGAGCAGGAGGAGAAGCCTGCCAGGAGTGCCATTTGGCTGGCTCAGGGGATCGGCAGCCATTTTGGAGGGGCGGAGCTAGCGACCCCCTGAAAATGGCCAAACGACCCCCCCAGGGGTCGCGACCCCCAGGTTGAGAACCGCTGGTCTAGATCAAGAGAAGTCATGGGGCCTCTCCATTGGGCTTTGGTCAGACCTCTTCACCCTCAATCACACTGTGTCCCATTCTGGGCAAAGCAATTCAAGAGGGATATGGACTCTAAGCTGGAAGGTGTTCAGAGGAAGAGGGAGACTCAGAGGACCCTGGATAATCCCTCTGAGGGGGGTCCTAAAGAGCTGGGTCTGTTTAGCTGCAGAAGAGAAGGTGGAGAGGAGACAGGAGATGTGAAAGGGTGTCCTAAGGAGGAGGGAGCAGGCCTCCTTTCTGCTGCTCTGAACTAATAATAATAATAATAATAATAATAATAATAATAATCTTTATTTGTACCCCGCTACCCATCTCCCCAAGGGACTTGGTACGGCTTACATGAGGCCGAGCCCACAATACATCAGCAAAACCAACAACAATAATAATACAAAACAATAAAATCAAGGGAGCCATGGGTTCAAATTGCAGAAAAGGAGACTCTACCTGAACATTAGGAAGAGCTTCCTGAATGGAAGAGGAGCTGTTCAGCAGCAATTTCTCTGCCTTGGAGTGTAGTGAAGGCTCCTTCCTTGGAGGCTTTTAAACAGAGGCTAGGTGGCCATCTGCCTGGGGTGCTTTGATTGTGCCTTTCCTGCATCGTAGGGGATCGGACTAGATGGCCAATGTGGTCTCTTCCAACTGTGATTCTGTGATTCCCAATGCCTTTGCTTTTCTCACTTTATAACCTATTCTCAAGCTTTCTTCTTATCCGATCTACCCGTTTCCAATCTCTAAGCCTCTTCCCTTCCTTCCCGCAGAGCGATATCTGGTCCCTGGGGATCACTGCCATTGAGATGGCCGAGGGAGCGCCACGTGAGTTGCCCCACAGACAAGGGGGGTGGGGTGCATGGGGCCAATGGGAGTGGACAGCAGGGTGTCCTGGGGGGTACCCTCTCTTTTGATTGAAGCCCAGGCCCCTTGGTTCCTGGGGTGGGGAGTGTGGCTGTGTTCAAGCACTGCAGCTGGAAGTGGCTGGAAACTCCTCTCTGTTAGCATTGAATCCTTGCTGTCAGCCGGTCTGAGTCCCTCTATGGAGGTAGAGAAGATTGGGATATAAAAAGTTTTCAATAAAATAATAATAAATAGGAAGGGTGTTCCAGAGGCGGGGGGCCACCACCGAGAAGGCCCTCTCTCTTGTCTGCATCCAACATCTTTGGAAGCTCCTTCCTTGGAGGCTCTTAAACAGAGTCTGGATGGCCATCTTTCAGGGAAGCTTTGATTGTGCTTTTTCTGCACGGCAGGAAGTTGGATTAGTTGGTCCATGCTGTCTCTTGCAACTCTGTTATTCTATACTTCTATGATCTCCACTCAGCCAGAGTCAGGAGGAACTGGGCTTGTTGGGGTCTGTGGGCAGCAGATGATCACCTGGTGAGTCTGAGCCTTAGGCACAACAGCAGGGAACATAGTCGGTGGCCCAGACCAGGTTTAGCGCCTTGGGGACCCAAAGGAATAAACGCCCGAGTAAAGAGACCCCATTTCGAGAGCGAAGGTTCTCAAGCTGCTGCTGAGGCGGCGGATAAAGAGAACTGAAGGCAGTACCCCTCCCACTGGCTATATGTACTCTCAAGGGGAGAGTGGATGGGGCTACCGCCAAAATCTATATAAATAAAAATGTAATGTTCGTTTGTGGGATTAACAGAACCCAAAAACCACTGGACGAATTGACACCAAATTTGGACACAAGACACCTAACAACCCAATGTATGTCCTTCACTCAAAAATTGATTTTGTCATTTGGGAGTTGTAGTTGCTGGGATTTATAGTTCACCTACAATCAAAGAGCATTCTGAACCCCACCAACGATGGAATTGAACCAAACTTGGCACACAATGTTCCCATGACTAACAGAAAATGTCGGAAGGGTTTGGTGGGCAGTGTCCTTTGGTTTTGGAGTTGTCACCTACATCCAAGATCACTGTGGACTCAAACAATGATGGATCTGGACCCAACTTACAGGAATACTCAATATGCCCAATGTGAACACTGGTGGAGTTTGGGGAAAATAGAATCTTGACATTTGGGAGTTATAGTTTCTGGGATTTATAGTTCACCTCCAATGACAGAGCATTCTGAACCCCACCAACGATAGAATTGGGCCAAACCTCCCACGCAGAACCCCCATGTGGGCCACAGCAACGTGTGGCAGGGGACGGCTAGTGTTTAATAATTTGCCTAGACCAGTGGTTCTCAACCTGGGGTCCCCAGATTTTTTTTGTCCTTCAACTCCCAGAAATCCTAACAGCTGGTAAACTGGCTGGGATTTCTAGGAGTTGAAGGCCAAAAACATCTGGGGACGCCAGGTTGAGAACCACTGGCCTAGAAGGTTCCGAAGCTGTTCTGCTCAGGTGCAGGAATTACCGTATGCAATTCACAGGGACCACGATGGGGAACCCCAGACTCAGGAGGAATCTGGCTTCCAGTGGCCGGGCCTCCTTCTCTTGGGGAGGTGGCCGGGTGGGACTCAGTGCTGGGTCTGGGGGTGGCTGGGCATCCTTCCCTTTGCTTATTTATTTATTTTGGGCATTTCTATCCCGTCCTTCTCACCTCCGAAGAAGGAGTCAGAACGGCTTACAGCAGGCAGTCATTAGATGCCAAAAACAATACATTACAATCAACACAATTAAAACCATTTTAGGCATTCAATTAAAAACAGTTCACCAGTTCAAAACATAGTCCATAGAAATTGTAAGAGGGGAAGTGAATGTTAACTCTTACCATGCTTACCATGCGCTGACCCTGCTCTTCCTCCGATGTGTCCCCTGTCAGCCCTGTGCGACATGCATCCCATGCGGGCGCTCTTCCTCATCCCCCGGAACCCCCCGCCCAAGTTGAAGTCCAAGAAATGGTAGGTGCCCCACTGCGGGGAGAAGGACTGGCTCATCGCAGAAACACTTCCCAAGGGGAGGGTGGGGTTCCCTAGGTGTAGAAAGACCCCAGGTGGGCTCACAGCAGAGCTCCCACGAGGCTCCTCGACTGCATTCCTTGAACCTGAGCAGGGCAGCAAACTCAGGCCGATGCTTGTGCTCCTTCCTCCCTTCCTGCCGCCGCCTTCTTCCAGGTCCAAGAAGTTCATTGACTTCATCGACAACTGCCTGATCAAGGCCTACACCAGCCGGCCCTCGACGGAGCAGCTCCTCAAGTTCCCCTTCATCCGGGACCAGCCCACCGAGCGGCAGGTCCGCATCCAGCTCAAGGACCACATTGACCGCACCCGGAAGAAGAGGGGGGAGAAAGGTAGGCCCCCCCAAAAAAGGAAGAGGAGGAAGCGGGGACCCGAGGGAGGTAGACTCGAGCTGTTTTGTCTGCTTCACGGTCTCCTCCCCCTTTGGCCCCTTCCGCCCTGACCTGCTTCTCATTCCCTCCACGCAGATGAGACGGAGTACGAATACAGCGGCAGCGAGGAGGAGGACGAGGGGCGCGGCGAGGAAGGGGAGCCCAGGTAGCGGGGGAAGAGCTTTGGTGTTACCTGGGGCTGGGCCATTTGGGATGCACCCAAATGGAGTGTGTCCAGAGTGATAGGTGGGGGTCTCCTTAGCCAATGCGCCCCCTGAGCCTCCCCCCGCTCCTTCAGCTCCATCATGAACGTCCCCGGGGAGTCCACGCTCCGGAGGGAGTTCCTGCGCCTGCAGCAGGAGAACAAGAGCAACTCGGAGGCTCTGAAGCAGCAGCAGCAGCAACTGGCCGCCCAGCACCGCGACTCGGAGGCCCACATCAAGCACCTCTTGCACCAGCGCCAGAGGCGCATCGAGGAGCAGAAGGAGGAGCGCCGCCGCGTCGAGGAGGTAGCCCTTGCCAGAAATATTTAAAATTAACAAGGTATTTTTAATTACAGAAATGTGAGTCAAGCACTAAACGTGTTAAATGGATGCAGAGACTCGGTAAAAGCCGCAGTCCTTTATAAGCAGGTGTGTCTGTATCTTAGTAGCCAACAGTCTGAGGTAAACCTCAGTGGGAGAAAGGTCTCAGTCTGTGAGAAGGCCTCACAGTGTGAGGTAGGCCTTCGTCTGCGAGAGAAGCCTCTGTGTGAGGTAGGCTGTAGTCTATGAGAAAGCCTGAGTGGGAGAAGCACTGGTGTGAGAACTTTTGGTAAGAAAAGCCCCAAGTTGAAGGCCTTGTATGTAAAGCTGTGTAAAAAGCTACTGTTAAATGGATGTAGAGACTCAGCAAAAGCTGCAGTCCTATATAAGCAGGTGTGTCTGTACTTTAGTAGCCAACAGTTTGAGGTAAACCTCAGTGGGAGAAAGGTCTCAATCTGTGAGAAGGCCTCACAGTGTGAAGTAGGCCTTATTCTGTGAGAGAAGCCTCTGTGTGAGGTAGACCTTAGTCTATGAGAAACCTGATTGTGAGAAGGCCTAGTGTGAGAAGCTTTGGTGAGAAAAGCACCAGGTTGAAGGCCTTGTGTGAAGGTACCATCACCAGAGGCTTTGAGGGAAGGGGCAGTGTTTATTTCCCTTGCTACCTCTGTGGCTACCTCTGGCTCAGCTTCTAGGGACTCACTCAGCTTCTGGGGACTGCTTGGTGTTGCTGGACTTTATCTTGACTGGCCTCCATTTCAGCATCCTTGTTATATTTATTATTTGTTGTTGCACTTATTGCATTTATATGTTTTAATTTTTTATAATTTGATATGTTATATTTATTATTTGTTGTATGATGCGGCATTGAATGTTGCCATAATCTGTAAGCCGCTCTGAGTCTCCTTCGGGGTTGAGAAGAGCGGGGTATAAATACAGTAAATAAATAAAGGTGTAAAGCTGTGTAAAAAGCTACTGGGTGGAGCTCGAGTGTAAGTTCTGTGTGAGAGGAGGCTCTGTGAGAGCAAAGCTGTTTATCTGCGTGAGAAGAAGCCCAGTGTGGAAGCAAAGAAGGAAGTATAAAGGACTTAAGTGGCTGAGGGGCAAAAGGAAAGGGCCTGAGTCTGTTAGGAATTATGGGAGTTGAAGTCCAAAACACTGAAGGGAGGGCCCAAGTTAGCCCATGTCTGGTTTATTTATCATGTCAGGCAATCAGACAATTGTATTACATTTCTAACAGAACAAAACAAACAAACAGACAAAACACACAGTTGGCAAGTGTGACGATGTGTAAGTTTTATTCTTTGGTTATGTGTAGTTTGGACAGTGGTTTAGGGATGGTAAGTATGGGAGATTATGTTTTGTTAGAGATGGTGGCTAGTGGCTTGAGCTGAGTTGCCATAGCAACGGGGGCGGAGCCAACTATCACTTCACGGCGCAGCTTTTTGAAAGTGGCAGTTTGTGGCCGGTGAGCTACAGGAAGAGACTGATTTCTCTAGTGGGAGAAACACGGAATTAGTCAGTACGCCAGTGAGCTACTGAGTGAACTGAATCTCTTGGTGGAGATTCAGGGAATGTGTCTGTAGCCAGTGTGCTATAGGGAGAGACTGAATCTCTTGGTGGAGATTCAGGGAATCAATTGGTGACCAAGTGGTTGCAGAGAAGGACCCGGTACAGGGGGTTGTTGATTCTGAATTAAGAATCAAGGTTTGGCTGGGTTTAAGCCTGTTGTGCCAGCTGTGAAACCTTATGAAGTGTTTGCCTGAGTTTACTCATGAAACCTTTCCAATGTATCTATCAAGATTTGTGCCTCTTTTGAAGAACAGTTATACATTGTTATACTCCTGTTAAAATAAACTTGTTACTGTTTTCCTCAAGCCTTGCCTGATACAGTTGCTCCTAAGTTGAACAGCCTACAATAATAAAGTCAAGCCAAGAAAGTAAACACTACGCTATCAAGTGAATAAAGCCTTCTGTAATTAACAGTCCCTTTATAAAATAGCTCCTAGGTTGATATTGATCGTTGCCCGGCTTCCCTCATAGATTAGGTGGCAGTGGGTGCTTTACCACGCGCACCTTCACATTTGGTGGCATTCGGTGGCATTAAAACGGGCTCCTTTACATTTGGTGGCAGCAGTTTAACAACCCCTTTACAGCAAGCTTAGTAGTTGATTAGATGTCCTTTGAGCAGTATCTGGCCCCTTGGAGTGCCTATGGGGTTAACTATAAGAAGGCCCTCCATTGTGCATGTGGCAGGGCTCAGGTTGCATTGCAGCAGGTGGTCAGTGCTTTGCTCTTCTCCACACTCGCATATTGTGGATTCCACTTTGTAGCCCCATTTCTTGAGTTGGCTCTGTATCTCGTGGTGCCGGAGCACAGTCTGTTCAGCGCCTTCCAAGTCGCCCCGTCTTCTGTGTGCCCATGCCTGGTGTAAATATTTGAGAGTTGAGCCTGGACCCAGCCATGGAGAGGCCCTGTTGGAATAGCCTTTCCCCATAAAGAGTTCCCAGGGCCAACCAAAGTCTCTTCCCTTCTGCTGGGGTGTTGTGTGACCCCTCCAGGGATCCCCAGAGGTGGACCCATGGCTCCCCTGACCCCCTCCTCTGCCTGTTTCCCCACAGCAACAGCGCCGTGAGCGGGAGCAGCGGAAGATGCAGGAGAAGGAGCAGCAGCGGCGCCTGGAGGACATGCAGGTCATGCGCCGCGAGGAGGAGCGCCGCCAGGCCGAGAGGGAGCAGGTGAGGGGCGCGAGGGCCCTTCCCCCTGCCCTGAAGGAGACTGCGGGGGGGGGGGGGGTGCAGGGCCTGTGGGGTCATTTGGTGCCTTTGGACCTTGCCTGCTTCCTGCGACCTGTCCTATCCCCCGTCCCCTCCCCGTAGAAGAGCCCCGCTTGGCCAGGCCTCCCTTCTGCTGCTGTGGGGATGAGGGGGCTGAGTTCTCTTCCTTCCACTTCCCTTCAGCTGTGGGTCTTGGGGGAGTTTCTCTGGCTTCTGGTGGTGGGTCTGCCTGGCCGCTGCCGCTTCCTCTCCTTCACCTGCCACACCTCCTCTCTCTTTCTCTCCTCCTCTCTTTCTCCTGCTTCCTTCCTTCCTTCCCTCCCTCCTCAGGAGTATATCAGGCACAAGTTGGAGGAGGAGCAGAGGCAGCTGGAGATCCTGCAGCAGCAGCTCCTCCAGGAACAAGCCCTCCTTCTGGTAAAGGGGGCCACAGGGGGTCCAGACTCAGGCCTCTTCCCCACCTGGGGGGCTGCCCAACAATTGGGGCAGATGGGGACTCTTTCTTTGGCCAAACTGGGTGAGGGCTGGGCAGGGAGGGAGGAAGGGGCTCTGCTTGGCGGCCCCACTCAGTCCCCTCTCCCCATCCCACCCCCAATCCTTTGCCCCCTCCCTCCCTCCCCAGGAGTACAAGCGGAAGCAGCTGGAGGAGCAGCGGCAGTCGGAGCGCCTCCAGCGCCAACTCCAGCAGGAGCATGCCTACCTGAAGTCCCTGCAGCAGCAGCAGCAACAACAACAGCAGCAGCAGCAACAGCAGCAACAACAACAGCTTCACAAGCAGCAGCAGCAGGAGAAGAAGTCCCTTTACCACTACAACCGCAGCACCAACCCCACAGAGAAGCCCACCTGGGCACGAGAGGTACGCCACGCAGCAGTGGGGTGAATGCAGGCTTCCTCCCTGGAGTGCGGTTAACACATGTTTCATGGGGTGCCGGTGTTGTTGATGGGACCAGGAGATGAACTTTCATAGAAAAGGAATGGATTGGGAATGGGTTACAAGAGAAAGGAGAAGGGAAGGAAAAGGAGCAAAAAAGAGCAAAGGAATCTGTAGAGAGATACAGCGTTGCTGAGGTGAAGTGTGCGAGGGGTTAGGCAACACAAGCTAACCCAAAGAAATAGGGAAGAACAAAGAAAAATGAGTGGAAATCGTTTGGGAACACAAGGAAATGTTTACAAAAAAGAGAACACAGACAGCCTGTGAGTTTTCTAAGCTGTCTGGGCATGTTCCAGAAGCATGTTCTCCTGACATTTCACCCACATCGATGGCAGGCATCTTCAGAGGTTGAGAGGTCTGTTGGAAACTAGACAAGTGGGGATTATAAATCTGTGGAATGTTCAGGTTCAGAGGCAAGTGTGAATGTTGCAGTTGGCCAGCTGGGTTAGCATTTAATAGCCTGGCAGCTTCAAAGCCTTGCTGTTTCCTGCCTGAGGGAATCCTTTGTTGGGAGGTGTTAACTGTCCCTGATTGTTTCCAGTATTAAAAAAACTCTAAAATTAGGACAGTAAGTAAAAAACAACACTCAGAAGATAGTGAATTTTCAGACAAGAAACACCCCCCAGTTGGACACGTCTAGACATGTCAGGGAAAACTTTTATATATAAAAAAGCAAATCTAAAAAAGAGAATCAAAATCCCAAGTTATTTCCAAGATAGCCAAGAGTCCAACATCCTCTCAAATACAGTTTCAAGAGTCAATTCACAGATACATCCATAAAAATGATGCCATGATTCCAAGGCGGGCAATCTATGCCACACATGAACTAGAAACAGGAACAGACATAGAAACTTGAATACATGGATTCCAAAAATGAAGGAGCAAGAACTGAGAGCTGTTCACCTGAAGACAACGTTCCTCTCACAAAGATTGTACCAGCAGGAACCACTTTAAAAGGCCTCAGTCGCTCCCATGACGTCATTCCTCACACACCTGCTTTTCCTCTACTTATCTCTAAGCCTTTGGGGAAAGCAAGTCTGTCTTTGTTGTATGCTCTGCATCTGAAGTTCCAAGCACCTTGACCTAGACCAGCGTTTCTCAACCAACCCGGGGGTCAGGACCCCTGGGGGGGTGGTCACAAGGGAGTGTCAGAGGGGTTGCCAAAGACCATCAGAAAACACAGGATTTTCTTTTGGTCATGGGAGTTCTGTGTGGGAAGTTTGGCTCAATTCTGTTGTTGGTGAGGTTCAGAATGCTCTTTGATTATCGTTATCCGGGATCTTATTTGGGCACGATACACATTTTTGAAGGAAGTGGTAGACATTTTCTTTCTTGTTTAATATTAGTTTTAGATTATTTGTGAAGTCTCTGTTTCCGTTGCTGTTTTTAGCGGCGGATTAGAAGAACTGGGCAGTAGCCTCGCTATTGTGCTATTTATGCTGATGGGGAGAGTGGGCGGGGCTACTCTAACGCTCAAAAATTGTCTCAAGAATGTCTGTTGCTGTCTGTGCAAACGCAGGAATATACCAAATGTGTGATTCAAAGCTGACCACTTGGGAAACTACGTTTACAGGTAAGCAACCCATATTTCTCACACTTCTCCCTCCCTCTCGCTTGCTTCTTCCTCAGGTGGAGGAGCGGACGCGCATGAACAAGCAGAATGCGGCCTCCCCGGTGGCCAAGACCAAGATGGGGGCCTCAGAGGGCGCTGCACCCCCTTCTTCCCGCGCGGAGTCCGTGTCGCTCAACTCCTCCCCGGCCTCCCAGACCCCTCCCATGCAGCGCCCCGTTGAGCCCCAGGAGGGGCAGCACAAGGTGAGACCTTCGCGGCACACCCCGCCCCTCGCCCGCCCGTCAGCCCCTCCCATATCATTCCAGCCGCTCATTGCCATCTGCTGCCGCTGCTTCTCTCATTGGCTGTCCTTTTTAGCCCGGGGGGAGGGGTGGACATCGCCCTCTTGGGATGGGGGGTTAGAACAGGCATGGGCCAACTTCAGTCCTCCTGGTGTTTTGGACTCCCACTCCCACAATTCCTAACAGCTGATGAGGATGAGGAGAGAAACCTTTTGGCGGGGCCTGCCATTCTTACTTCTGGGCCTGTTACTTCCGCAAGGTCTCTTGGAAGGTGGACGGTGGCAATGTTTCAGTTGGAACAGCTTTTAGGGAAACAGAAAGTGGTTCTCATGAGACTCTGCCAGGGATGGACTCTGAAAGGAATGTGGAGGAGACAGGAACTCGGCCCATAAGAGAGAGCGCTAAGCAGAGACAACGACATTTTTCCCAGAGGCTGAAAAATAAGCAAAGGGAAGCCAGGTGTGAGAAAGAGTAATATCGTGGGTAAGAGTTAGAATTCTTAAGCGATCTGCCGTAATGTTCAGTGTGAGATCAGCGTTGGATTTGCCTGTTTTGGGAGCTCTGGGTTTAGAGTTTTGCCTTTCATTCTGTGCCGTTTTCTTGTTTACGATCAGAGACTCTCAATCGGATTACATTTCTTCGTTCGTGTTTTCAGGCCTTTAGATTATAGTTCTTTGTTGAAGTTTTGGAACCCTTGGATTACGGTTTCTTGTTGTTACCTTTTGGGTAAAAGTTCAGAGTTGGTCCATGCTGATTGCTACACCAAAGAATATCAAGTGTATGGATGTTATTTTGAAAATGCTTTTAAAGTCTGGTTTTTGAATGTACTTTGGTGATTTCCTGTTCTGATTATTCTGGATTTTTTTTGTGTGTGTCAGGAGCAACTGCAAGTCGCTTCTGGTGTGAGAGAATTGGCAGTCTGCAAGAATGTTGCCCAAGGGGCACCCGGATGTTTTATCATCCTGTGGGAGGCTTCTCTTACGTCCCCACATGAGAATCTAGAGTTGACAGACGGGAGCTCACCCAGCTTCCCGGATTTGAACCGTGACCTTTTGGTCAGCAGTCCTGCCGGACCAAGGGTTTCACCTGTCTTTTCTATTATATACTCTTTTCATAATACAATTCTTACTTATTATTGGTTGTCTTTTAACTGTGTGGTATTTGGGGGGAAAGGGGTCACGCAGGCAGCTGGGCTTCAACAGGTAGGCTGTTAGGAATTGTGGGAGGTCCAGAACACCTGGAGGGAGCTCTGGAGTTGGTCCATGCCTGGGTTCGGGACTTCCGGAGACAGGATGCCAAGAGCGGCAGGTGCTAGTCTCCTAGGAGAGAGGCTGTGCGTGGTCTCCAGAGGGGTCAAGTGGCGCTGCAGCGGATGGAGGCTGACAGGATGAGGCCTGAGGAGCCAAGTCTGTCCCGGTCGCCTCCGCCCGCTGACCCCTCTGCCGCCCTCTCCCCGCAGAGCCACCTGGCCCACCGCGTCCCGCTCAAGCCCTACGCCGCCCCCGTCCCTCGCTCCCAGTCGCTGCAGGACCAGCCCACCAAGAACATGGCCGCTTTCCCTGTCCATGACTCCTCCTCCTCCGCCTCCTCCGCCTCTTCCTCCTCCGCCCCCTCCCCGCCTCGGGCGGCCATGATCCGGCAGAACTCCGACCCCACCTCCGAGGGGCCCGCCCCGCAGCCGTCGCGGCCCAGTGCCGAGCAGAGAGGACCCTGGGTCAAAATGGAGGCCGAGCCCCCGCCCAAGGTAACACTGTTTGGATGGGGTGGGGGCAGAGGGGAGGTCAAGGGACCCATGGGCTTGGTCAGCTGGGTGGTCAGCTTGGGGACCCAAGGGCATACTCATCAAGGGATGTGCAGTAGCGAAAGGATGGGTGCCTTGTTTTGTCCTTATAAATTTGTAATGTGATTGGGAGGGGGCATTTAATTTCATTGGACGGCGCACAATGACAATAAAGTTACTCTACTCACTGTGCCTCGGTGCCAGTCCCCAAAACAGTGGGTGGTCAGCTGGGGGGAGCCCCTTACCTTTGTAGTCCCCACCTGGCCCCATTGTTTAGGCCAGGGATCCTCAAACTAAGGGCCGAGGGCCAAATATGGCCTTCCAAGGTCATTTACCCGGCCCTCACTCAGGGTTAACCTAAGTCTGAAACGACTTGAAAACACACAACAACAACAACAATCCTATCTTATCAGCCAAAAGCAGGCCCACACTTTCCAATGAAATACAGTGTTCCCTCACTTATTGCTGGGGTTACGTTCCAGGACCTACTGCAATAAGTGAAAAACCGCAATGTAGGGATGCTCTATTTTAATATTTATACATTATTTTAGTAGCTATTTTAAGTCTTTATAACCTTAAAATAAAAGGAAGGAAAGGCCCATCAAGGCTAGAGGGAGGGAGGATTCAGGAGGGAAAGTGCCTTGGAGAGCAGCGGCAGTGGCAAAACCCCACAAAACAGTGAAAATACCATGATATGTCAGAGTTTGGGGGGTGCACAGCGGAAGGTTTGCTAGATCAACAGACACAGTACTCCAAAAATCAGGACTCTGCAGTCTTACAGTTGCAAAAGAAACTAAGTTTTACTAAGTACATATAAGACACGTCTTCACACAGCGAGCTACAGTGAGGAACTACAAAGCACAACAGTTTCTGAACGTGTGCTTATCTGACTTCTGGCTGAGACCAGATCCTCCCTCTTCTTCCCAGCCAAAGAACACGTTATCTCATTTCTGTCAAGGTTACCTTTTCTCTGCCTCAGCCCGCATTTTTAATACACAAAAGAGCAGAATAGAATCCATCTTGAAATACATCTTAATCCATCTTGAATTACATAGAAACACATTGAAAAACACACATGCATAACTAAATAATCCTGACAATATATTTTAAATTAATATTTTTTGAAATCTGCGAAACAGTGAGTCTGCAGTAAGCGAGCCGCAAAGTAGCAAGGGAACACTGTACTAATAAGTTTATATTTGTTAAAATTCTTCCTCATTTTAATTATTGTATTGTTTTTAAGTTTTGGGTTTTTTTGCATTACAAATAAGATATGTGCAGTGTGCATAGGAATTCATTCAATTTTTTCCCAAATTATAATCTGGCCCTGCAACACTTTGAGGGACCTGGCCCTCTGTTTACAAAGTGTGAGGACCCCTGATTTAGACAGTGTGCAATGACAATAAAGTTACTCTGTTCACTGTGCCTTGTTGCCAGTCCCCAAAACAGTGGGTGTTCAGCTGAGGGAGCCTCTGGGTAGCCCCTTACCTTTGCAGCCCCCACCTGGCCCCATTTAATAAGGGGACATGTGCCTTGAGTGTGCTCAATGCCTGGCACTGTTGGGCAATTTGTCATGGGAGCCTTTGCCCTCTTTCTTGGGGCTTGCGCGAGGCCACCCACTGCAGAGGTCCCTCTTGAGCAGGGGTCTTCAAACACTTTAAACAGAGGGTCAGTTCACAGTCCCTCAAACAGTTGGAGGGCCAGATTATAATTTGAAAAAAAAAACATGAATGAATTCCTATACACACTGCATATATCTTACTAGCTGTCCCCTGCTACGCGTTGCTGTGGCCCTGTCTAGTTATCTGGAAAATAAAGTAACGAGAAAGTGTTGGTTTCTAATATATGTAATTTATTTATGCTTGTGGGTAAACAGTATTTCTTCTTGTTTCTTTGACATTGTTGATGTGGTTTGCCTACTCTGGAATATGCAACATATCATAGTCCTTCTTTAGGGGCCCCTTTCAAATCTAGGATACTATATCTCTGTGTGTATGAATAATGTATATCTATCTATACCTATGGCTGGATGGCTCTCTGTCAGGAGGGCTTTGATTACATTTTCTTGCCCTGGTGAAGGGAGTTGGACTGGATGGCCTTAAGTATTTTCTGTTGGTCATGGGAGTTTTCTGTGGGAAGTCTGGCCCAATTCTTTCACTGGTGTGGTTCACAATGCTCTTTTATTGTAGGTGAACTATAAATCCCAGTAACTACAACTCCCCAATATCAAGGTCTATTTCCTCCAAACTCCATCTGTGTTCATATTGGGGCATATGGAATATTTGTGGCAAGTTTGGTCCAGATCCAACATTGTTTGAGTCCACAGTGCTCTCTGGATGTACGTGAACTACAATTCCCAAACTCAAGTCAATGCCCATCAAACCCTTCTAGTGTTTTCTGTTGGTCACGGGAGTTCTGTGTGCCAAGTTTGGTTCAATTCCATTGTTGGTGGGGTTCAGAATATTCTTTGATTGTAGGTGATCTATAAATCCCAGCAACTACAACTCCCAAATGACAAAATTATAATGTTTTGAGTGATGGTCACTCCTTGTGTTGTGAGATGTTTTGTTGCCAAATTTGGTGTGATTTCGTTCATTGGTTCTTTTGTTTTTAAGGTACTCATTATGCACCGAGCATTTTTATATATATAGATTTGTAGTGCAAAAGAACACTTTAAAACAATCCAATAATTAAAATGAAGAACAAATTTAACAAATATAAACATATTAGTATTTCAGTGGGAAGTGTGGGCCTGCTTTTGGCTGATGAGATAGGATTGTTGTTGTTGCTGTTGTTGTGTGCTTTCAAATCATTTCAGACTTAGGTTGACCCTGGGCAAGGGCCGGGTAAATGACCTCGGAGGGCCGTACCTGGCCCTCGGGCCTTAGTTTGAGGACCCCCTGCTCTTGAGACATCTGCTTCCCCCAGGATGCATTTGTGGACTGGGGAGGCCATGAGACCCTGCATAAATACACCCAGGGTGTCGTTCTTCCGCATCTAATGGACCCACCTTGTTCTCCATCTCCAGGTTCCCCAGCGCACCTCCTCCATCGCCACCGCCCTCAACACCAGCGGAGCCGGGGGCGGAAGCAGCGGAGTCGGGATCCGGCCAGCCCACGCTGTCCGAGCCAGGTGAGCCCCTGGGCATTGGCCAGCTGGTCAGTCTCAGTTAGCCTTGATTCTAGGAGAGGGTTTTGCTGTAGAGGGTGAAATCAGTTCAGCTGGGCATCCTTTGTGGGTCTGGGAGAAGATTTGATGGATGGCCAAGGGTCCAGACAGGGTCTCCAGGCACTGAGGACCGAGGCAAGATGGTAGAACGCATGGGGGGTGGGGGGGGGAGCCACCATCCTGTGAGACCTTTGAATCAGTGGAGGTTCTCCCTCAGCCAGGAGAATGTGGAGGAGGACATTGGAAAGAAGTGACAAGTGGAGTGCCGCAGGGTTCCGTCCTGGGCCCGGTCCTGTTCAACATCTTTATTAATGACTTAGATGAAGGGCGAGAAGGCATGATCATCAAGTTTGCAGACGACACCAAATTGGGAGGGATAGCCAATAGTCCAGAGGACAGGAGCAGGATTCAAAACGATCTTGACAGATTAGAGAGATGGGCCAAAACTAACAAAATGAAGTTCAACAGTGACAAATGCAAGATACTCCACTTTGGCAGGAAAAACGAAATGCAAAGATACAGAATGGGGGACAATGCCTGGCTCGAGAGCAGTACGTGTGAAAAAGATCTTGGAGTCCTCGTGGACAACAAGTTAAACATGAGCCAGGAATGTGATGCGGCGGCAAAAAAAGCCAATGGGATTTTGGCCTGCATCAATAGGAGCATAGTGTCTAGATCCAGGGAAGTCATGCTCCCCATTCCCTTTTGGTTAGACCACTTTACCTGGAATATTGTGTCCAGAGGAGGGCGACTCAAATGATCAAGGGTCTGGAGAACAAGCCCTATGAGGAGCGGCTTAAGGAGCTGGGCATGTTTAGCCTGAAGAAGAGAAGGCTGAGAGGAGATATGATAGCCATGTATAAATATGTGAGAGGAAGCCACAGGGAGGAGGGAGCAAGCTTGTTTACTGCTTCCATGGAGACTAGGAACAATGGCTTCAAATTACAAGAAAGGAGATTCCATCTGAACATGAGGAAGAACTTCCTGACTGTCAGCCGTTCAGCAGTGGAACTCTCTGCCCCAGAGTGTGGTGGAGGCTCCTTGTTTGGAAGCTTTTAAGCAGAGACTGGATGGCCATCTGTCAGGGGTGCTTTGAATGCAATATTCCTGCTTCTTGGCAGAATGGGGATGGACTGGATGATGGCCCAGGAGGTCTCTTCCAACTCTAGGATTCTATGATTCCCAGGGGCTCCGTTCCTTCCTTTGATGCTTTGCGGATCAAAGGCCTGGAGACCATGAATATAAGGAGTGGCTTAAAGAGCTGCGTCTTTGTAGCTAAAGAAGAGAAGGCTGAGAGGAGACATTATGAGAGCCATGTACACATACGTGTCCTCAGGAAGAGGGAGCAGGGCTTCTTTTCTGCAGCCCTGGAGACTGGGACTAATCTGAGCCATGGGTTCAAATTACAGGAAAGAAGATTCCACCTGAACCTTGATTGATTTACTTACTTATGTGTTTACAGTATTTATATTCCGCCCTTCACACCCTTCAGGGAACTCAGGGTGGATTGCAATGCACATACAATAATAGATAATAATAATAAAGCTTTATTTATACCCCGCCACCATCTCCCCAAGGGACTCGGAGCGGCTTACAGGGGGCCAAGCCCAGCAACACATCAAGAACAAGCAATACACAAAAATAAACAGTACAGTTAATATAACTAATAAGTAGACAATAACACACAAGAATTTAAAAACCTATGGCTGGGCCAGATGCAGTAGTTAAAACTTTGAAAATAAATGCTGGACATGAACAGAGGATGTGTCTAGTAGGAGGGTTTTAAACCAAAAGTGGAGAACAACCCAACAGGTAATTAAAGTGCTTCTCAGGGGATTTTGCAGGGGATTTTGCAGGGGAACAGCCGCAGAGGCAATTTAACATTCCAGCTTTTTCCAGCTTCATGAGGGTATTCTCAATTCCGGCCACAGGGGGAGCTGCTGCTTCACCATCGACTTGTGACACCGAGTCCTTGATGGAGTACTTCCTCATTCTTATGTACACTGTTGGAAGGTTTTATGACATCATAAATTAGTTTTGTTTTTTTGTTGTGTCAGGAGCGACTTGAGAAACTGCAAGTCACTTCTGGTGTGAGAGAATTGGCCATCTGCAAGGATGTTGCCCAGGGGACGCCCGGGTGTTTTGATGTTTTATCATCCTTGTGGGAGGCTTCTTATTTATTTATTTATTTATTTCATTTACTTATACCCCGCCCTTCTCACCCCGGGGGGGACTCAGGGCGGCTTACAGTGGGGCACAATTAGATGCCCAAAACAATACACAAGCAATATAAAACAATCAACAATTAATTAAAACAACAGTACATATTAAAACAGTAAAAACAATCTCATGCTCAGGGTTTCAGAGTCACCATATTCATTCCATTTCATTAGTCCTTGCTTATCCTCAGATCCATAGCTATCACCGACCAAAAGCTTGTTCCCAGATCCAGGTCTTTAGTTTTTTCCTAAATACTAGGAGGGAGGATGACAGCCTAATCTCCCCGGGGAGCGCGTTCCACAGGTGGGGGGCCACCACTGAGAAGGCCCTGCTCCTCGTCCCCGCCAGCCTCACTTGTGACGCTGGCGGGGCCGAGAGCAGGGCCTCCCCAGACGATCTTAAACTTCGAGGTGGGACGTAGAGAGAGATCCGTTTGGACAAATACACTGGGCCGGAACCGTATTTCATGTTCCCGCACAAGGAGCTGGAGCTGATAGAGGGAGCTCATCCGCCTCTCCCCGGATTCAAACCTGCGACCTGTGCGGATTCAAACCTGCGACCTCTTCAGTCCTATTGGCACAGGGGTTTATGGTATATATATTCCGCCCTTCTCACCCCGTAGTATAGTCAGAGTGGATTACAATGCACATATACATGGCAAACATTCAATGCCAATTAGACATACAACATATATAGACAGACACAGAGGCTATTTAACATTCCAGCTTTTTCCGTCTTCATGATGGTATGCTCGATTCCGGCCACCGGGGGGAGCTGCCACTTTATCGTTGACTTGTGACACCGATTCCTTGATGAAGTATTTCCTCATTCTTATGTACGCTGTTGGAAGGTTTTATGGCGTCGTAAATTAGTTAAATTACCCTCCCCGCATAAAGCGGTACCTACATTTCCTACTTGACAGATGCAGATGTCTTTCGGGCTGCATGGGTCAACAGCGAGCTAGACTATTAATGGTCGGGAGCTCACTCCGGCCCGGGCTAGCTTCAAACTCATGACCTTTCGGTCAGTAGTGATTTAATGCAGCTGGCTACTAACTAGCTGCGCTGGAGTGAGCTCCCAACCAATAACACGAGGAAGAACTTCTTAGAACTGGGTTGTTGTAGGTTTTTCAGGCTATATGGTATTGAGAATTAATAAATAATAATAATAATATAATAAAAGTTTCTGCCCCCATAAAACAGGATTTTCCATATATATGATATTGAGAATTAATAAATAATAATAATATATGTCGTTGTAAGTTTTTCGGGCTATATGGCCATGTTCTAGAAGCATTCCCTCCTGACATTTCACCTGCATCTATGGTGAGCATCCTCAGAGGTTGTGATATTGAGAATTAATAAATAATAATATAGGTCGTTGTAAGTTTTTCGGGCTATATGGCCATGTTCTAGAAGCATTCTCTCCTGACGTTTCGCCTGCATCTAGGGCAAGCAATCCTCAGAGGTTTGTGAGGTTGTGAAAAACCTACAACAACCCACTTCTTAGAACTGTTCAACAGTGGAACTCTCTGCCCTGGGGTGTGGTGGACTCTCATTTCTTAGAATCATAGAATAAATAATAGACTTGGAAGCCACCACATGGTCCATCTAGTCCAACCTGCTGCCATGCAGGAAAGCAGAAAGTACTAGCAGATTTCCACCCAGCTTCTGTGGAAAGGCTTCCAAGGAAGGAGCTTCCATTGGACTCCAAAGCAGAGAGTTCCACTGCTGAACAGCTTGTATGGTTGGGAAGTTCTCCCAAATGTTCAGGTGGATATTACACTGTTCAACGGAGAAAAAGTTGCGGGCCTGAAAATAGTTGTTCTTTTATGATTTTGGGGTGCTGAAAACGAAAATGACATTTAAAAATGTATATTGGCTCTAGTTTTTATGATATAAGCAATCACGTGATCACGTATGGTTGAAAAAATGCATGTTGTGACTTACACTATGGAAGATTCTAGAATACTCTAGAAAGTTTGATGACACAGTATTAGTGCCGTGTGCAAAAGCCAGAAAGCCCTCTATAAGGCCAGACTTTTGAACGGTGAGGGTCAGTCAGTTGAAGACTGAGACAGTATCGTTAAACATCGTTTTACATTGTTCTTTTTACTGTAGTTATGCCTCCTCGCACGTGTGTAAATAAAGCACTATGGAAAAAAGAGATCAAGGCCAATGGACTCCGTCCATGCTGTCAGACTCCTGCTGGAGCATTGCAAGAGGGAATCCTTCCCTTGAATACAAAAGAAAAGTCAAGAGAAGCAAACAGGAGATAAACTCAAGTCACGATTAAAGCGACATTTCAGTAAACTTTCAGTAAACTTTCAGACTTTTCAACTGCATTAGGCCTACTCATAGAGTTTCTTGCTGCACAAACATAAACAATAGACTAATTAAATAAATATTTCTCATGTATAAACTATTGGCAATATAATTTGACTAAAATTTAGTAAATATTCACGGTTTATATACATGCAGTAAGGTTAGGCGCATTATCATAATATTAACGAATTACCTATTGTGGAGAAAATTGAAATAGCTGTTGCATAAAAACCAGAGCCAATTAACACATTTAATTATTATATTTGAATTCAGCATGTTAAATTTATTAAGAAACGGCACATTTCGTTTCCGCAACTGAGAAAACTGAAAATTTGTAGAACAGTGTAATTGAACCCATGGCTCCATGGGTTGATGTAGACACTCGTTTCCTTTGGATGCATATCTTTGGAGGCTTTTAATCAGAGGCTGTGGATGGCCATCTGTCAGGGGTACTTTGATGGTGCTTTTCCTGCATGGAGACAGAAGGGGGTTGGACTAGATAGCCTTTAGAGCTCCCTTCCAACTCGTATTATTCTATGGGCCAGCTTGGGCCCTCCCTCCAGGTGTTTTGCACTCCAACTCCCGCAATTCCTAACAGTCTACCGGCTGTTAGGAATTGTGGGAGTTGGAGTCCAAAACACCTGGAGGGAGGGCCCAAGCTGGCCCATACCTGCCCTAAGGAGTTGCTTCCTCCCTTGTGCAGGCCCCGTAGCAGGTCTGCATGGCACATCCACCTGCAGAGCCGGCTGGAGCGGGGGGCCAAGTGGGGGGAGCCCCTGCCGTCCGCGGCCCCCCTGCCCCATCCCTCCGGCCGGACCCCGTCCCGAGAGCCCTTGCCCGCCGTGCCGAGCGCCAGTAGGTAATGCAGCCGCGAGGGAGGAGGAGGAGCCCTTCTCGCCTTCTCTTCTTTTCCTGCTCGGGTGTCGGTGGCTGCTTGCTCCGGAGGAGGAGGAGGCTCTGGCTGGGCGCTCGCTTGCTCTGGCTCTCTGGTTGCGGGTCCTTTGTGGCGGTGGCTTCGGATAGAGGGGCATTGTGGGGGGCAAGGTGGGGGGCAATGACACGGCCACATTCACCATCTCCTTCTTCCGCTTCCCCCCCAAACAGCAACCCCGACCTACGGAGGAGCGACCCAGGCTGGGAGCGCACGGATAGCCTGCTGCAGTCTGGGGGGGCCCACTTGCCACAGCCGGGGTCGCTGGAGCGCAACCGGGTTGGAGGTGAGAGGTCGTAGGGCGAAAGCAGGGCATTTGAGGACAGGAAAGGTAGCGCTCAAAAGCGCTCACATTAATCACAATACATTATTATTGCTATTATTATTATTATTATTATTATTATTATTATTATTATTATTATTACTAGCCGTCCCTGCCACAAGTTACTGTGGCCCAGTCTGTGTATATGTTTTGTGTGTGTATATATTTGTGTATATGTGTATATATGTGGTTTTGCGCATGCGTTGTAATGTATTTTTTGGCTTTTTAAGTCTCTTCCGCTGTGTTTTCCAGTGTTTTTATGAGTGACTAGCCGTCCCCTGCCACACGTTGCTGTGGCCCATTCTGTGTATATGTGTTTTGTGTCTGTATATGTGTGTATATATTTGTGTATATGTGCATATGTGTGTTTGCATATGCGTTGTAATGTAATTTTGGGGTTTTTTTTTTTTGCTTTTTAAGTCTCTTCCGCTGTGTTTTCCAGTGTTTTATGAGTGATGGTCACTCGTAGGCCTGAGAAGTGTCTTGTGTCCAAATTAGGTGTCCATTTGTCCAGTAGTTTTTGAGTTATATTAGTCCCACAAATGAACATTACATTTTTATTTATATACATAACTAGCCGTCCCCTGCCACGCGTTGCTGTGGCCCAGTCTGTGTATATGTGTTTTGTGTGTGTATATAATTGTGTATATGTGTATATATGTGGTTTTGCGCATGCGTTGTGATGTATTTTTTGGCTTTTTAAGTCTCTTCCGCTGTGTTTTTCATTGTTTTTATGCATGATGGTCACTTGTTGGCCTGAGAGGTGTCGTGTGTCCAAATCTGGTGTCAATTCGTCCTGTGGTTTTTGAATTATTTTAATCTCACAAACTAACATTACATTATTATTTATATAGACTAGCTGTTCCCTGCCATGTGTTGCTGTTGCCCAGTCTGTGTATATGTGTTTTGTGTGTATATATGTGTGTATATGTGTGTATATGTGTGTGTGTATATTTGCGTATACGTGTATATATGTGGTTTTGCGGATGCATTGTAATGTATTTTTTATTTTTTGGCTTTTAAAGTATTTTTCAGTGCTTTTATGAGTGACTAGCCATCCCCTGTCACACGTTGCTGTGGCCCAGTCTGTGTATATGTGTTTTGTGTGTGTATATATTTGTGTATATGTGTATATTTGTGGTTTTGCGCATGCATTTTAATTTATTTTTACTTTTTGGCTTTTTAAGTATCTTCCGCTGTGTTTTTCAGTGTTTTTATGAGTGACTAGCTGCCACACGTTGCTGTGGCCCAGTCTCTTTATGTGTTTTTTGTGTGTGTATATATGTGTTGTTTTGCACATGCACTGTAATTTTTTTGTCTTCTTTTTTGAGGTTTTATTTTGTTTTTGTTTTTTTGGGGGGGTTGTTTTTGCTTTTTAAGTCTCTTCCGCTGTGTTTTGCAGTGTTTTTATGAGTGATGGTTACTCGTTGGTCTGATAGGTTTATTGTTTCCAAATTTGGTGTCAATTCGCCCAGTGGTTTTTGAGTTATGTTAATCCCCCAGACGGACATGACAGTTTTATTTATATTATTATTATTATTATTATTATTATTATTATTATTATTTTGTGTTACTCATCCAAACATGACTTGAACTTAGACATTAAGTTGTTGTTGTTGTTGTTGTTACAGATCTCATTTTCTTGTCTTGAATATTTTTTGGCCTGAGAGGTTTATTGTTTCCAAATTTGGTGTCAATTCGCCCAGTGGTTTTTGAGTTATGTTAATCCCACAGATGAACATGACATCTGTATATATAATTTTATATATATATAAAATTATATTATTATTTTGTGTTACTCGTCCAAACATGACTTGGACTAAATAGACATAAAGTTGTTGTTGTTGTTATGGATCTCATTTTCTTGTCTTGAATATTGTGTTATTGTTCTAAACCACCTTGAGGACACTTATGGAGGAGATGAGGCTCAAAAGCAGGCATGGGCATACTTCAGCCCTCCAGGTATTTTGGACTGTTAGGAATTGTGGGCATTGGAGTCCAAAATACCTGTAGGGAAGGCTGAAGTTGGCCCATACCTGCTCAAAAGGCAGGATGTAAATGTCCTTATTTATTTGTTTGTTTGTTTATTTGGCGTATTTATTTCTTGGCCTTTCTCTACCCCAGCAGGGGGGCTCAAGGCGGCTTAGAATGGCACGCACACATCGCCTCAAAACAACAAATTCACCTCAAAATATAAATGAACGTTTTAATAATAATGTCGTCCACCCCCCTGCCTTCATTCTGGCCCCTTTCTCTGCCCCTCTCAGGCCCCTTGAAGCTGGACAGCTCTCCCATTCTGCCTCCAGGGAACAAAGCCAAGGCCGCCGAAGACCACCGGTCCCGACCAGGCCGGCCAGCGGTGAGTGACCCTCTGGAGGGCATATTATGGGGTGCCGGGCTCTCAGGTCAAAGGTCACACCTTCAGGTGGTCAAGCCACAACTGTTCCTGACCAGAAAGTGTTATTTCCTGTTTAACTGTGTGGTCCTTACTTTGAAAGTAGTTGCTATACTCCAGGAATGTTGTTTTTGTGGCAGCCAAAGCTGTTTTGAATTGGTGGAGACTCAATGATGAGATATTCATTGAAAAACTATCACAAAATGTGCTGTATCAGGATGTCCTTCCCACAAAGAGAAAGTTTCGGCAGTTTACTAAAACTTTTATTTATTTATTTATTTATTTGCATTATTTCTACCCTGCTCATATCAGCCCGGAGGCGACTCAGAGTGGCGTACGCAATCAGCACAATTCGATGCCATAAAAATACATACATTGATAAGCAAAAGAAGCATTATAGTGCAATTAGACATAAGACAGGGCATAATAACAATATTAAACTTTCCCATGTATTTTGATGAAACCAATTAGAAAAGGACCTTGATAACCCAGGAACAAAAATTATAGTGTTACATACAGAAATCTTAAGAGGGAATTTGTTTATTTTTACAGTATTTATATTCTGCCCTTCTCACCCCGCAGGGGACTCAGGACAGATCACAATGCACATATACATGGCAAACATTCAATGCCATAAACACACAACATACATAGACAGACACAGAGGCTATTTAACATTCCAGCTTTTCTTGAGGGTATTCTGGCCACCAGGGGAGCTGTCGCTTCACCGTCCATTTGTGGCACTGATGAAGTACTTCCTCATTCTTTGCATGCTTGCTGGAGTTTTTTATGGCATCGTAAATTAGTTATACATGGCAAACATTCAATGCCATAGACACACAACATACATAGATAGACACAGAGGCAATTTAACATTACAGCTTTTCTTGAGGGTATTCTGGCCACAAGCGGAGCTGTCGCTTCACCGTCCATTTGTGACTCTGATGAAGTTCTTCCTCATTCTTTGCATGCTTGCTGGAGATTTTTATGGCCTTGTAAATTAGTTAAATTAGCCTCCCCGCATAGGCGGTACCTAAATTTCCTACTTGACAGATGCAACTGGCCTCATGGGTTGTTTCAGAGGATGGGCCTGGCGACTGCGACCTAACTTGTTCTGCTTTCTTTTCTCCTTACTTCCTTCTTTCCTTCTTTCTCTCCTTCCTTCCTTCCTTCTGCGCGGCTCAGAGCTATAAGCGGGCCATTGGCGAGGTTAGTGCCCCCTCCCTCTGGCAGACCCCCCTTTTTTCTCTTTCACATCTTGCACCCCGTTTCTGCCCCTGGAAGGGTTTTCAAAGTCTCCCTGCGCTGCTTCTCCCCAACACCTCCAATCCGTCTTACCTGCTTTTGCACTGCTTTGGACCCACTCACCTGCCTGGGCCCCTCTCTCTCACCTGGAGCCTTTCCCTCCTGCTTTTGGTGCATCTTTTGGTGTGTTTGTGTGCGTGTGCATGGGGTTTCCGGAGGGATCGAAGAAGCTGCAGTGGGCCACCCTAGCCTTGTAGGTTGAGTGCAGAGTGGAGTGCATCGTAGCCTGTGCTAGGTATGAATGTAAGGTAGTAAACAGGAGAGACAATGCCCAAGGGGATGCTCTGGGAAGGTTGAAAAAGGGTATTGTTGCAGGTATAACACGTGTCGGATAAAAGAGTAGATAAGCAGTGAAGACAATATATATTCTGCCAGGTTTTCTCTGGGTTTTATTGGCCCGTTACTAGTGCTCTCTCTTGTTTGTGGTCTAGAGGGTTTTTTTTCCCCCCTCATATTCCTCTCCGTGGTCCCTGTGGAATGCACACATATGGATCTCCTGCACCTGCACAGACAATTATGGAACTCTCTAGAATCTTAAAGGATACTTTTTGGTGGTAGATCCGCCCATTCTCCCCTATTTATTTATCGTGTCGGGGGGCAACCAGACGATTGTATTACATTTCTAACAGAACAAAAACAAACAAACAGACAAAATACAAAATTTGCAAACTTGGTAGCTGATTAAATGTCCTTTGAGTAGTATCTGGCCCCTTGGAGTGCCTCTGGTGTTGCCGCAAGGAGGTCCTCCATTGTGCATGTGGCAGGGCTCAGGGTGCATTGCAGCAGGTGGTCAGTGGTTTGCTCTTCTCCGCACTCGCATGTCGTGGATTCCACTTTGTGGCCCCATTTCTGCATCTTGTGGTGCCAGAGCGCAGTCTGTTCAGCGCCTTCCAAGTTGCCCAGTCTTTTGTGTGCCCAGGGGGAGTCTCTCATCGGGTATCAGTCATTGGTTGAGGTTCTGGGTTTGAGCCTGCCACTTTTGGACTCTTGCTTGCTGAGATGTTCCAGCAAGTGTCTCTGTAGATCTTAGAAAACTATTCCTTGATTTAAGTCGTTGACGTACTGGTTGATACCCAAACAAGGGATGAGCTGGAGATGTCACTGCCTTGGTCCTTTCACTATTGGTTGCTACTTCCCGGCAGATGTCAGGTGGTGCAATACCGGCTAGACAGTGTAGTTTCTCCAGTGGTGTAGGGTGCAGACACCCGTGATAATGCGGCATGTCTCATTAAGAGCCACATCCACTGTTTTAGTGTGGTGAGATGTGTTCCACACTGGGCATGGTACTCAGCAGCAGAGTAGCATAGCGCAAGGGCAGATGTCTTCACTGTATCTGGTTGTGATCCCCAGGTTGTGCCAGTCAGCTTTCATATGATATTGTTTCTAGCACCCACTTTTTGCTTGATGTTCAGGCAGTGCCTCTTGTAGTTCAGAGCACGGTCCCCTGATAGTATATATATGGAGGAGGTGAGGCTCAAAAGGCAGGATGTCCATGTCCTGATCAATAAATACTTTAATTATTTTTTGAAAAGAAGGCAACGGCCAGCATCTAAACATGAATTCACCTTTGGGTGGCTATAAGTTGAAAATGACTTGAAGGTACACAACAACAGAGGACAATTCTATTAGGAAAACGGAAATAATGGCCATAGATTTGTTGAATAGTGAGTGCTGATGAAAACATCAGCAATGAAAATATCAAAATGGTTAATGATTTTAAAAATCATTGGCTGAGAAAGGTACCAAGTAGGATTCACACAGGGATTGGCTGGGTGGGTTCCCTGAGGGGATTCCCGATGGCTGATGGTTGGTCAGTTTTGAAGGTCCAGTTCGTTACATAGACGCTCCTGCGAAACTGAAGGGGATGATGACATGGGTGTGCAGATGATCCCTTGATTGACTCAAGTATCCAGTTCCAAGAGGACAGATCCATGGGCCAACTTTGGCCCTCCAGGTGTTTTGGACATCAGCTCACACAATTCCTAATAGCCTACTGGTCCAAAACACCTAGAGAGAGGACCGAAGTTGGCTCATGCCTGCTCTATAGACAAGGGTTGATACATTTCTCTCTGGGCTCCAACTGGGCCATTTCTCTCTCTCAGTTCCCTTTATGGAACGAGGTTGTTTTCCCTGGAATCTGGGGGCTTCTGTCGTTTGCAGCTTTCCCTTCCCTCTTTCCCAACTGGGTGGTGCTTGTGATCGCATTTGTTTACATCCTGCTTTCTCCTCCAAAACTGGAGGAGCTCTGTGTGGCTGCTCTGTGCTGGGTCTGGTGCTCAGACACGGGTGCAACCCTGGCCCCTTTTCTGCTTCTCCCCACAGAACTTTGTGCTGCTGAAGGAGCGCCCGGAAGAGGCGGCCCCGAAGCCCCTCAAGAAGGCCATGGACTACTCCTCCTCCAGCGAGGAGCTGGACTCCAGCGAAGAGGAAGAGGAGGAGGAGGAGGAGCGCTCCGAGCCTGGGACAGACACGACGGGGACTCGGTGAGGGTGACATAGGTGGCAAATGGAACAAGCACATCACATTGGTTAACGGCCCACACGTGCCACACAGGCCTTCCCTGCTTGCCCACAAGCACCTCCTCAGCACAATTGGTTCCCAGGATGGAGTCCAGTTGTAAGACTGTAGGATCTATGTAGCAATATTAAATAACCACTCACAAGCCGTTTTCGCTTTGAAATGGATATATTGCTTGTTTCTCTGCAGCAAAGTAAGACACTACTGACTTTTTCCCACCACCACTTCCTTTTATACACCTTTCCTGCCCATCTCTTCTCAGTTTCCTTTTTAGGACTTGTTGCTTCACAAGTTCCAATACAAGGTTTCCAGCACCCTCTCTAGCTTCAAAATGTCACAGAGAGAGAATTGATTCAGCCCGGATGATTCAGTCAGGCTGTCACAGAGGGAATTTGTGATGTCTTCATGCCGTCAGAAATTGACTCCTGACACCAGTTGCCTATATTTCCCTCAAGAGTTTTCCCTGCCATGTTCCCTGCCTTTGAGCTGACCTTTCCCCTGCCCACTTGTCATTAGTAGATCCTGAACCTTAAAAATGTTCGTTAATCCATTTTCAATGGGACAGAGTACATCAGGCATTATCAGAGAAAGAAGTAGATGCTAGAATTTTCAGTGGGACAGAGTACATCTGGCACTATCAGAGAAATGTAGAGATGTAGAGATGGGAAGGCCTGGAAAAAACACGGAAAAAAATGGGAGAAAAACAGTTTTCTGTGTTTTTATATCCAACGTCTTTTTTTCTTTTTCTTTTTTTTGAAAAATGAGAAAAGACATATGTAGAAACAAAAAGGTCTTTATTTTTATAGTTTGAGTACTAGAACATATTCTACATACTTTTCAATTTTTCTAGGGGGAAAAAATGTTTTTTCCCAATTTTTCCATTTTTTTTAGTTCCCATTTCTAGTAGACACACAGACTCCAGTATTGGTTTTGTAATAGCTATATTGATTACACAGACAAAGGGGAAACATTCACATTTACTTAGCATTCACTCACATATTATTATTATTATTATTATTATTATTATTATTATTATTATTATTATTATAAAACTTTATCTATATCCCGCTCCATCTCCCCGAGGGGACTCAGAGCAGTTCCCAGGTAACATCACGAAACGTACAGAGTAAAAACAACATAACCATAAGATTAACCAAACAAAATATAAGCATAGAAATTGTCGCCATAGCACACATATATTAAAAATAATCCTGCCTGTTCAAGGCAATTGAAAATTTAAAAGGCTGGGCCAAGATTTGTGCAAGCCCCAAAATTCTAGGGGGCCCAGGAGTTAAATGCAATGCTATGGCAGGCAACAATCGTACTAGACACGGGTCTGTGGCTGTTCATTCCGGGGCCGATTAGAGGACAGAATCTGGGTAACTGGTAGGAAGAATAAGGCCTCTTTCGACAATGTGTGAGGCTGAGTTAGAACTGGTCATTTTCAAAGGCTTGTTGAAACCACCAGAGGAGGGATGGGGCCTGTCTTATTTCCCTTGGAAGGGCGTTCCAGAGGCGGGGGGCCACCACTGAGAAGGCCCCCTCTCTCGTCCCCGCCAACCGCACTTGAGATGGTAGTGGGGCTGAGAGGAGGACCTCCCCAGAAGATTTTAGCGTTCGTGCCGGTTCATAGAAGGAGATGCGATCGCAGAGATAGGCGATCAATATTTGTACTCATCATCCCTTCCCCAGTCAAGCTTGCTGCTGGAGAAGAGAAGCAGGTGGACGGACATGGCATTGCTTGCAGATCTGCCACACAGTTGAAAAAGGAAACGGTCTCTTTATGTAGAGATGGTTATTATCCGTTACTTGGTTGTATAGATAACCTCTGGCATTCGCCTCAGACCTCGTCAATTCCAGAATAGATACGTTGATTAACTTCTTTCTTAAGGTAACATTGTCTTTGATTATGTAAACTGGTGTTGTTTACACCCAAAGTTCTCAGGTCAGTTCTCATTAGCACTTTGCATGCCAAAGTTCGTCACGTCCTTCCCCTCCTTTGGTTCTCCATAATGCAGTTTTCCAGGTTCCAAAAATGCGTAGCCAGACCTTAATAGGCGCCAGGCAGACCCCAAACATTCAGCGCATTCAATCCATTCATTACACACTGGCCTTGCTGGGGGGGCTTGACTCCAATCCAGGAGGGGGAGGTGAGGTTAGTGGGATGTGTGCCCACCTCTCCTGACCGCTCTCCTTCCTCCTCTGCCAGGGACGGTGACACAGACTCCGTGAGCACGATGGTGGTGCATGACGTGGAGGACTTGGCGGGGAGCAGCGGTGGTGGCGGAGGCAGCGGGGGCTCTGAGAGTTCGTACGGCGAGGGCACCATGTTGGTCCAGCGGGTGAGCTCCCCTCTCCCTCTCTTCCTACATCCCTGTGTCAAAAGTACACACACAGACTATAGCTACATTGGGGACACAAACAGAAGGGAATTAAAACAGCAAAACAGCAGAGGGAAAACAATCAGGGGCATCTAATCACCTCTCAACAAAAGATTGCTCCAGGCACTGCCAGGCCATCAAATGCTAATCAAGGTGGTCAGTTGAAACATTCACACCTAGCTCCAGCAGACAAGAGTCCTTTGTCCCACCCTGGTCATTCCACAGATATATAAACCCTTTTTCCTAGTTCCAACAGACCTCACTACCTCTGAGGATGCTTGCCATAGATGCAGGCGAAACGTCAGGCGAGAATTCCTTTAGAACATGGCCATATAGACCGAAAAAACCTACAACAACCTAATAGCATAGCAAAAGTTCTTTCTCCCACCCTGGATATTCCACAGATATATCAACCCAATTTTCCTAGTTTCCAACAGACCTCACGACCTCTGAGGATGCTTGCCATAGATGCAGACAAAATATCAGGAGAGAATGCTTCTGGAACATGGCCATACAGCCCGAAAACTCACAACTTGAAACATTCACACCTAGCTCCAGCAGACAAGAGTCCTTTGTCTTACCCTGGTCATTCCACAGATATATAAACCCCTTTTTCCTAGTTCCAACAGACCTCACTACCTCTGAGGATGCTTGCCATAGATGCAGGCGAAACGTCAGGAGAGAATGCCTCTAGAACATGGCCATAGAGCCCGAAAAAACCCTACAGCAACCCAGAAGGGAATTATATTTTACTCAGCATTCTCTCACATATAACATTCATTCATCATCATGCATACATTACCATCTCTTCCTTCTCTTGGAAGAGAGACTCAAAGTAGGCCAGATTGCATTCCCAGCAAATTTATTTATTTATTTATGACATTTATATGCCGCCCTTCTCACCCCAAAGGGGACTCAGAGTGGCTTACAAGATATATATATATAATATAATATATTGTATGTATGTGTGTATATGTGTGTGTGTGTGTGTGTGTGTGTGTGTGTATATATATATATATATATCACACACACACACACACACACACACACACATACATACAATATATTATATTATTAGCATAGTACAATATCAGTATTAAATATTACTACATTGTAGGTAAAGGTAAAGGTTTTCCCCTGACATTAAGTCCAGTCATGTCTGACTCTGGGACTCTGGTGCTCATCTCCATTTCTAAGCCGAAGAGCCGGCGTTGTCCATAGACACCTCCAAGGTCATGTGGCCAGCATGACTGCATGGAGCGCCGTTACCTTCCCACCGGAGCGATGTTGATCTACTCATATTTGCATGTTTTCGAACTGCTAGGTTGGCAGAAGCTAGTGCTGACAGCGGAAGCTCACGCTGCTCCCCAGAATCGAACCTGCAACCTTTCGGTCAACAAGCTCAGCAGCTCAGCGCTTTAACCCACTGCGCCACCGGGGGCGCCTACTACATTGTACTATACCATTATATTGTAATATTATTACTTATATAATTATACTATTATATTATTATTAGTATTATTATGTTGCATTACATTATAAGTCCCGGTGCTTACACATCTTATCTGTAATGCAAAACGAAAGAAAAAAAAGAAAAGAAAGGGGGGGAAAAAGACAAACAATATTTTAAATGAAGAACAATTTTCACCAACATAAACCTAGCCATCTTTCTGTGGGAAGTGTGGGCCTACTTTTGGATGACGAAATAGTCCAGTTAATTAGGATTGTTGTTGTGTGCCTTCAAGGAATTTCAGACGTAGGGCAAACCTAAGTCTAAACTTTAGGGCAGGGGCCGCATCTGGCCCCACGAGCCTTAGTTTGAGGACCCCTGAGCTAAACAATCCGAACTCTGTTTCTCGTACTCTTAACAGCAGCCAACTATCCACATCTTAAAGATAATAATAATAATAATAATAATAATAATAATAATAATAATAATCTTTATTTATACCCTGCCACCATCTCCCCAAGGGGACTTGGAGTGGCTTACATGAGGCCAAGCCCCAACAACAAATTACGACAGAGTAAAACCGAAAACGCAGACTGAAAACGCAAACAATCAACAACAACATCATAATTACATAAAACACGTGAATACATAACAGTGCATAGTATTCCTTCTCCTTATTTTATCAACTAACCTAGAGATCCTCAGACTTTAAATGGGGGGTCAGTTCACGGTTCCTTGGACTTTTGGGGGACGAACTATAATTTGGGGAAAAAATGAACTGATTGCTATACACACTGCACATATCTTATTTGCAATGTAAAAAATGAAAGACAAAACAATATTTTAAATGAAGAACAATTTTCACTAACATAAACCTAGCCATCTTTCGGTGGGAAGTGTGGGCCTAATTTTAGATGATGAAATAGTCCAGTTAATTAGGATTGTTGTTGTGTGCCTTCAAGTAATTTCAGACGTAGGGCAAACCTAAGTCTAAACTTGGGGGCAGGGACCAGGTACATGAACTTGGAAACACGGGCCTTAGTTTGAGGATCCTTGAGCTAAACAATCCGAACTCTGTTTTTCCAACTATCTACACATCTTAAAGATAATAATAATCATCATCATCTTTATTTATACCCCCCCCCCCCCATCTCCCTTGAGGGCCCCCGGTGGCGCAGTGGGTTAAAGCACTGAGCTGCTGAGCTTGTTGACCAAAAGGTCGCAGGTTCGATTCCAGGGAGCGGCGTGAGCTTCCGCTGTCAGCCCTAGCTTCTGCCAACCTAGCAGTTCGAAAACATGCAAATGTGAGTAGATCAATAGGTACCGCTCCGGCGGGAAGGTAACGGCGCTCCATGCGGTCATGCTGGCCACATGACCTTGGAGGTGTCTATGGACAACGCTGGCTCTTCGGCTTAGAAATGGAGATGAGCACCACACCCCAGGGTCAGACATGACTGGACTTAATGTCAGGGGACTAGCTTTACCTTTACCTTTTACCATCTCCCCAATGGGGACTTGGAACGGCTTACATGAGGCCAAGCCCAAACAACAAATTACAACAGAGTAAAACCGAAAACGCAGACCAAAAAACGCAAAAAATCACCCTTTTCCATGGGGATTCCTCCCTCCAGACCCCCGACGAGGAGCGTGGCCTCATGCACAGCGACAGCAACGGCTACACCAACCTCCCAGACGTGGTGCAGCCCAGCCACTCTCCCACCGAGGCCAAGAGCAGCAGCAACGGCTCCTCCTCGCCCGCCAAGGACGCCGCCACCGACGTGAGATTGGGGGAGAAGGGCACAGGGTGGCCAAAGGGGAGGATAGTGTTGGGGGAAGAGTGCCAAAGACGAGAGAGCCAAAGCCCACCTACTGCATTCTCCTTCCTGCCACAGTACCAGTCACGCGGTCTGGTCAAGGCCCCAGGGAAGAGCTCCTTCACCATGTTTGTGGACCTGGGCATCTACCAGAGCTCCATGAGCGGCGGAGACACCATCCCCATCACYGGTGAGGCTTTGGTCAGGGAGGAAGAGTGGGGGTCCTTGCTGGGGAAAGGGGTGAGTGACAGGAAGGTCATCAGTGTTTCTGGGGGGGGGGGGGGCAACCCAGAGCTCAAGGCATGTTGGTCCAAGTTTGCAGATGAGACCAAATTGGGGGGGGGGGGGGAGCGAATATTCCAGAGGACAGGATCACAATTCATATTGACCTCAACACACGAGAGAGCTGATTGGCCAAAATCCTGCATGGAAGTAGGAGGTTGGACTAGATGGCTCATGRGGTCTCTTCCACTCCTAAGATTCTGTGATTCCTCCCTTTGCAGCCTTTGATGCGGGGCGCCTGGAACAGCTTCAGCTAGAGGCCCGGAAGGGCTCAGTGGTCAACGTCAACCCCACCAACACCAGGCCACACAGTGACACGCCGGAGATCCGCAAGTACAAGAAGCGCTTCAACTCGGAGATCCTGTGTGCCGCCCTTTGGGGTGAGAGAGGGAGCGGGCAGGCGGGGGGAGAGGTGGTTCTGTTGTTGAGGCCTGGTGAATTCCCATGACCTTTTCCCTTCCAAATCAGACACTAGAAACAGGAGATCCAATCTACAGTTCCCTGTCGTGGTCAACTGTGAATCGCACATATGGTTATTTCTGCGCCTGCGCAAACTAGCTTCGGAACCTTCTAGAAAGATAAAAGAGACATTTTTACACCTCGCCCCGCCCATCCCCTCGAGTATATATAGCCCGTGGGTGGGGCTAGCCTCCAGTTCTCTTGATCCGCCGCATTGGCAGCAGCTAGAGAACCTTCGCTTGCGAGCTTCTGTATTTGTCTGGACTGCTTTCCTACTATTCTGGTTTTGACTTGGACTTGGAGTCAAGGCTTAAAGTAGCCTTATACAAAAAGGCTCTCCTTCCCCCGGCCGCCCCCAAGCAGGCAGTTTCTGCTGATTTTCTGAGCCAAGGAATGTTCCACGTTGGACTGTTGCTGAATCACTGGTTTTATAATCTCAAATTGACAAAAATGCACATACATGTAAGCCAAGAAATCAAAACTTCATTTCCCCTTCTTTCTGTCTATACTTTTCCTTCTCTCGCCTCAGCACCTTTCTGTTCTATAAGCAACCTTTTGTTTTCTTTTTTGTGTCTGTAAACAATTCCTGTGTTCCCAAACAATTTCTACTCATTCTATGGCAACATTGTCTGCTCTGGAGACACTAAGTAAACATTACATAATTTAAGCTCAGGCCCAACCAAGAAGCCATGAGGTCAGGCCTTTGAGACCTGGGTTTCAATGACTTCTCACAAGGTCTTTCTGAATGTAGAATTAATCTATCCTTCACTCCCTCCGTGAGAAGGCCTAATCTTATATCGTGGCAAAACTCCCCCTCTGAACCTGTAGAAGGCCCTGAAGGCCGATTCCAAAGAGAAAAGGACTTTTCCCCGGTTGCTAAGGAGCGGACATTGGAATCCCAAACATCCCTTGTCTCCTCTGCAACTGCCGGCCCTTCTCTCTGATCTGAGGCCTGCCAATCGCCCCGATCACACACAGATTTGTCAGTGGGAAACCCATCAGCCCCCTCTTCTTCTGAGGAATCATCATCATCTGGCTGCTGAACCCCAACACGAGTTTCCTTAACTTAAAAGATGTCTTTGGTAATGTAAACATGTTGTTCCCACCAAATAAAATAAATAAACTTTATTTATACCCCACCACCATCTCCCTCGGAGCTCCCGATGGTGCAGTGGGTTAAACCCTGTGCTTGGCAGGACTGAAGACCGACAGGTCGTAGGTTTGAATCTGGGGAGAGAGCGGATGAGCTCCCTCTATCAGCTCCAGCTCCTCATGCGGGGTACATGAGAGAAGCCTCCCACAAGAATGATAAAACATCAAAACATCTGGGAGTCCCCTGGGCAGACGGCTAATTTTCTCACACCAGAAACGACTTGCAGTTTCTTAATTCGCTCCTGACACGACCAAAAAAAAAAAAAAATCTCCCCGATGGGGACCCGGGGCAGCTTACATGGGGCCAAGCCCTACAGCAGAATACAATAGATGAAGTCAAAAGCACAAACAATAGCATGAAGGGTCTTCATACAGGAGAGGAGGGGGTATACTCTAAGGACAAACATTGAGGGGTAGAAACAATATTAAATTGTCTGGTTAATCATCAAAAGCACAACAGAAGAGCCAGGTTTTAATATTTTTCTTAAAACTTTCTAAAGTGGGGTCTTGCCTAATCTCACAGGGCAATGTATTCCAATGTAATCCAGTTCACTATGGAAAAAGAAAAGGAAGGAAGACTGCCTTTTCTAGATGTCCTAGTCATCCGCAAACCAGATCAACAATTGGGTCACACCGTTTACAGAAAACCCACACACACAGATAGATATCTACATAAAAACTCCAACCATCACCCAAGTCAAAAAAGAAGCCCCATTAAAGCCTTGGCAGACCGTGCAAAAAGAATCTGCGAAGCCCACCTCCTCCAAGATGAACTGAACCACCTCAACTGGGCTCTCCAGGCCAATGGATACTCCACCTCAGACATCAGAAGAGCTGCAAGACCAAGAACAAGCCACGAGAGTCAAGATGAAGATCCACCCAGAGGAAAAGTGTTCCTGCCATACATCAAGGGAACCACTGATCGCATAGGGAAGCTGATGAGGAAACACAACATACAAACAATCTGCAAACCCACCAGGAAAATCCAACAAATGCTACGTTCAGCAAAGGACAAGAGGGATCCTCTCACCTCTGCAGGAGTCTACCATTGTATACCATCCAGCTGTGGACAAGTCTACATAGGGACCACCAAACGCAGCGCCCAAACACGAATCAAGGAACATGAAAGGCACTGCAGACTACTTCAACCAGAGAAGTCAGCCATAGCAGAGCACCTGATGAACCAACCTGAACACAGCATATTATTGGAGAACACAGAAATGCTGGACCACTCTCACAACCACCATGTCAGACTACACAGAGAAGCCATTGAAATCCACAAACATGTGGACAATTTCAACAGAAAGGAAGAAACCATGAAAATGAACAAAATCTGGCTACCAGTATTAAAAAATTCTAAAATTAAAACAGCAGAGAGAAAAACAGGCAGGGACATTTAATCACCTTTCAAGAAGAGTTTGCTCCAGGCACAGTCAGCCCATTGTATGCTAATCAAGGTGGTCAGTTGAAAAGATTCACACCTAGCCCAACTTACAAAAGCCTTTTGTCTCACCCTGGTCATTCCACAGATATATAAACCCTTTTCCCAGCTCCAGCAGACCTCTGAGGAAGCTTGCCATAGATGCAGGCGAAACGTCAGGAGAAATGCCTCTAGAACATGGCCATATAGCCCGAAAAAACCCACAAGAACTGAGTGATTCCGGCCATGAAAGCCTTCGACAATACAATGTATTCCAAAGTCGGGGGCCACTGAGGAGAAAGCTGGTTCCCACCAGGTGGGCCTGAGATAATGGCAGGGGCAAAAGGAGAGTCCCGTTCCCCAAAATTGGAGGAATCGGGAAGGTTCATGGAGGGAGATAACCAAGTCAGCAATGTCAACAGTTAATCATTTTCACAGTTCTCATCGGCAACTCTTAATTACAGTTCCTGAGTGTAGTTGTTTTCTGGCCCTCAATATCTTAGACTTGTGTCTTCAGACCAATTAGGCCCCGTTCATCCTCCTTTCATACAATTTCATTAAAACCTTATATAATAATAATAAATAATAAAACTTTATTTGTACCTCGCTACCATCTCCCCAAGGGACTCGGTGCAGCTTACATGAGGCCGAGCCCACAGCACATCAATACAAGCAATAACAACAACAATAAACAATTAAAATAAAACTCATTAAAAAAATGGCAATAACAGTAATACAACACACATTTTAAAATCTATGGCTGGGCCAAATGCAATTAAAGTTTTAAAATAATGCTAGGCATGAACAAGGTAGGAGAGATGGGTTGTTGGTGAAAGTGTACAAGCAATCCTAAATCAGTGTAAAGTGATCATACTAGCTGTCCCCTGCCAGGCATTGCTGTGGCCCAGTCTGTTGATCTGGAAAACAAAGTAATGAGAAAGAGTTGGTTTCTAATATATGTAATTTCTTTCTGCTTGTGGGTAAATAGTATTTTTTGCTGTTTCTTTGCCAGTGTTGATGTGGAGAGTGGTTTGCCTTTCTCTGGAACATGCAACATATCATTGTCCTTCTTTAGGGGTCCCTTTCCAATCTATGATACTATATCTCTCTGTGTTTGAATCATATATATATATGTATGTATGTATGTATGGCTGGATGGCTCTTTGTCAGGAGGGCTCTGATTACGTTTTCTTGCCCTGGTGAAGGGAGTTGGACTGGGTGGCCTTAAGTATTTTCTGTTGGTCATGGGGGTTCTGTGTGGGAAGTTGGCCCTAAATCTGTCGTTGGTAGGGTTCAGAATGCTCTTTGATTGTAAGTGAACTATAAATCCCAGTAACTACAAATCCCAAATGTCAAGGTCTATTTCCCCCAAACTCCATCTGTGTTCATATTTGGGCATATGGAATATTTGTGCCAAGTTTGGTCCAGATCCATCATTGTTTGAGGAGGTGAACTACAACTCCCAAACTCAAGATCAATGCCCACCAAACCCTTCTAGTGTTTTCTGTTGGTCATCGGAGTCCTATATGCTACGTTTGGTTCAGTGCCATCATTGGTGGTGTTCAGAATGCTCTTTGATTGTAGGTGAACTATAAATCCCAGCAACTACAACTGCCAAATGGCAAAATCAAAAAGTTTTTAGTGAAGGACATACATTGGGTTGTTAGGTATCTTGTGTCCAAATTTGGTGTCAATTGGCCCACTGGTTTTTGAGTTCTGTTAATCCCACAAACGAACATGACATTTTAATTTATATAGATGTATCCACCACACGCTCACTCTGCTTTCTCTGCTGCAGGGGTCAACCTCCTGGTGGGGACGGAGAATGGCCTGATGCTGCTGGACCGCAGCGGTCAAGGCAAGGTGTACAGCCTTATCAACCGGCGCCGCTTCCAGCAGATGGATGTCCTGGAGGGGCTCAACCTGCTGACCACCATCTCCGGTGAGAGGGGCTTTGGGATCAGGATGCTCCTTTGGCGGGCCCCGCTCTTCCTTTGGCCGGAGAGTAACGCCCCTTGGGGTCTCCCAACCCTCAGGGAAGAGGAACAAGCTCCGCGTGTACTACCTCTCCTGGCTGCGCAACAAGATCCTGCACAACGACCCAGAAGTGGAGAAGAAGCAGGGCTGGACCACGGTGGGCGACATGGAGGGCTGCGTTCACTACCGTGTAGGTGAGCAACGGCAGGGCTTTGCCGTGGAGAGTTTGGAGTGCGACTCTCGGGAGGAACGTCTATCACCGGGGCTCTTCGGGGCCCTTTCTCCAGGTGTTTTGGACTCTAGAACAGGCCTAGACCAACTTGGGCCCTCCCTCCAGGTGTTTTGGACTCCAACTCCCACAATTCCTAACAGCCTCAGGCCCTTTCCTTTTGCCCTTCAGCCGCTTAAGCGTTATATCTATTTGTTGAGATATGAAGGTAGGCATCTTTTAGGTCTATCATTCTATCATCTAGCTTAAGCGGCTGAGGGGCAAAAGGAAGGGGCCTGAGGTTGTTAGGAATTGTGGGAGTTGGAGTCCAAAACACCTGGAGGGAAGGCCAAAGTTTGCCCATGCGTGATCTACACTATACAATTAATGCTTCCAAAGGTGGCAGCCATAACAGGACCTTTGTCTCCATCCCTTCCGCATCTCTTTTCCATAGGCTAGCTCAGGGGTCGGGAACCTTTGGCCCTCCAGCTGTGGTGGACTTCAACTCCCACAATTCCTTGAGGCTCGGCATTCGCCCCAAAGGCTTACCTTGGCCCAACGAGGTTTGTTTGGCTCTTTTTCATGGAGGACGGGCAGCAAAGGGGGAGAGACGAGCGTAACGTAGCTGTGCAGATGGCGAGGAAGGATGCGGAGCCTACAGACTGGCCTCGGAGGGAGAGAGCGGGCGGAAACCCCTGCGGGCAACGCGCCTCCTCGCCGCTTAAACAGCGCAGAGCCCTTTCCCTCCAGCCTTCGCCTTCCCTTTTCCCCGACAAGCTCTGCACGACGTCACTCAGCCGGCGTCGTTGCTAGGGAGGGGGTCCATGCGGGGCGGGTGCTAAGGGCCGAAGCGGCGAGGAAGCGCGTTGCCCGCAGGGGTTTCCGCCCGCTCTCTCCCTCCGAGGCCAGTCTGTGGGCTCCGCATCCTTCCTCGCCATCTGCACAGCTACGTTACGCTCGTCTCTCCCCCTTTGCTGCCCGTCCTCCATGAAAAAGAGCCAAACAAACCTCGTTGGGCCAAGGTAAGCCTTTGGGGCGAATGCCGAGCCTCAAGGAATTGTGGGAGTTGAAGTCCACCACAGCTGGAGGGCCAAAGGTTCCCGACCCCTGGGCTAGCTCGTATCGGATGCCTATTCAAGTCTTTGTTAGCCTTACCTTTCCCATACCATTTCTTCACCCCAAAGAGGGACCGCTTCTTCCCCGTCGTGGTCAACTGAGAATTGCACATTTGGAAATAAAGCTGTACTGCGCAGGTGCAGGAATTACCAAATGTGCAAATTCAAAGGTGACCACTCAGGGAACTATGGTTACAGGTAAGCAACCCATAATTTCCTCAGCCCGCACCATTCATGTTTCCTGCCTTCAACCCCCCTTGTCTCTCTTGCAGTGAAATATGAACGGATCAAGTTCCTGGTCATCGCGCTCAAGAACTCGGTGGAGGTTTACGCCTGGGCCCCAAAGCCCTACCACAAGTTCATGGCCTTCAAGGTACGAAGGGGGGAAACGCAGGGGGGCTGAAGGAGGGCAGGGGACCGGGGCCCCACGGCCTTTTAAGAAGTAGGTTTTGGTGTTATGGAGGCCCCGGCATCTATGAGGAAGGGAAGAGGCAGGGAATAAGTATCTCCCCTTACGAACCACTGGGGACTTTAAGATCATCTGGGGAGACCCTGCACTCAGTCCCGCCTTTGTCACAAGTACATTTGGCGGGGACGAGAGACAGGGCCTTTTCAGTGTTGGTCCCTCGGCTATGGAACGCCCTCCCTAGGGAATTAGGTCTGCTCTCTCCCTCTTAGCGTTTCGGAGGCAAGTTAAAACATGGCTGTTCGAGCAAGCGTTTACAAATGCAGAGTAGCTAATATAGGAAATCGAATGATTTGACAATGGAACTGGACAATGCTTGATAATAATGAGACGCTAATGATGTTGTTTTTATTGCTTTTGTGGTGTTTTATACTGTTTAATGTTTTAATCTATATTATGTTTTTATGTGTACTGATTTGTTGGAAACCGCCTTGAGTCGCCGATTGGCTGAGAAAGGCGGTATACAAATACAATAAATACATAAATCAATAAGGATACTCCCACTTTCAAGGTCTCTGTGTGGCCACCATTAATGCAAAAATTCATGGGTGCAAAATAAAAATGCTTTCGAAAGAAAATGGGCAGAAAAATATGTACGTGGTAAGGATAAAAGATGTAGAGAAGATGTGTCCCCCTCAGATTCTTAAACTTACCGTAAAGGTAATGGTTTTCCCATGACATGAAGTCCAGTCGTGTTTGACTCTGTGGGGTGGTGCTCATCACCATTTCTAAGAGTAAGAGCACGGTGTAGCCAAAATAATTGTAAACGTATGCATTATATATGTTATACAAATAGTCAAGAACATGGACATGAGATGCTTATGTGTATACGTACCAGATGAAATCAAGGGTAAATAATATGCTGAGAAGCTTAAATAACAAAATAGTCTATCTATCTATCTATCTATCTATCTATCTATCTATCTATCTATCTATCTATCTGCAAGTGCCCTGGGAGTCAAGGAAAGAGCAGGCAGAAAGGGCCTACAGCTCTGGGGGGCCCTTGGTCATCAACACCTATTATTATTATTATTATTATTATTATTATTATTATTATTATTATTATTATTATTAGAAACACAGCAAGATGAGTCCACAACAAGCAAGATCACTGCTGGCTGTTGTATTGGGTCACATGCCAGAGACTTCCCAAGTGTCTAGGACCGTGTGATGTATCAGTGAATAACGTGTGTAGATCTGAGTTGGGGGGCCTTTTGCAGCTGGCAGATGGTAATTTTGTCAGTGCCCATTGTGCTTAAGTGCAGGCCAAGGTCTTGAGGCACTGCACCCAGTGTGCCGATCACCACTGGGACCACTTTTACTGGTTTGTGCCAGAGTCTTTGCAGTTCAATATTTAAATCCTCATATTGTGTCATAATAATAATAATATTACTATTATTATCCTTATGGTTATTTATACCCTATTCAAAGCACTTCAGTACAATTTTCAAAATATACAAATACGTAAACATTAAAACAGAATTAAATATCAGTGGTCCATTTTGCCATTTCTCTGCCTATATGTGTCTTTGCTCCTCACCGACCTGCCTTCCCTCCAGTCCTTTGCTGACCTGCCTCACCGGCCGCTGCTGGTAGAGCTGACCGTGGAGGAGGGCCAGCGGCTGAAGGTCATCTACGGCTCCTGCGCCGGCTTCCATGCCATCGACGTGGACTCAGGAAACAACTACGACATCTACATCCCTGTACATGTGAGTTGGGATTTGGCAGCCTCCTTAATAGTGTGTTAGAGCAATAGAAACCGTGCCTTTGCCGCTGAGGGTGGACTGAGCCCGCGCCACTTGTGTCTCCGGCAGATCCAGTCCCAGATCACGCCGCACGCCATCATCTTCCTGCCGAACACGGATGGGATGGAGGTGCTGCTGTGCTACGAGGACGAGGGCGTCTACGTCAACACCTATGGGCGCATCATCAAGGACGTGGTCCTGCAGTGGGGGGAGATGCCCACCTCCGTCGGTGAGGCTGGGAACGATGGTGGTGGGGGGTCAGAGGGGAGAGAGGGGGATCCTTGGAATGGCTGCGGGGGGCAGAGGGACACAACTCTCATTCCCGTAGGATCTACACATAATTAATCTTACTATGTAAATGTACTGTATATACTCGAGTATAGTTTTTTAGCCCCGTTTTTAGGCTGAAAAAATCCCCCTCGGTTTATACTCGAGTCAAGGTTATTTATTATTTTACTCTGTTGTTATTAGTATTTTTATTACATTTATTATTTTACTCTGTTTATTATTATTACATTTATCAATTTACTCTATTATTATTATTACATTTATTATTTTACTTTATTGTTGTTCTTACATTTATTATTTTACTCTATTATTGTTGTTGTTATTGCATTTATTATTTTATTCTATTATTATTGTTATTATTATTGCATTTATTATTTTACTCTATTATTATTATTATTATTATTATTATTATTATTATTATTATTAGTGTTTCTTAACCTTCCTGTGGTGATATTAGTATTTTTATTACATGTATTATTTTACTCTATTTTACTCTATTTATTATTATTACATTCATTATTTCATTGTTGTTATTACAGTTATTATTTTACTCTATTATTATTATACTCGAGTCAAGGTTATTTATTATTTTACTCTATTTATTATTATTACATTTATCAATTTATTATTATTGCAGTCATTATTTTACTTTATTGTTATTACATTTATTATTTTACTCTATTTTTATTATTATTATTATTATTATTATTATTATTATTATTATTATTGCATTTATTATTTTACTCTATCACAGGCATGGGCAAACTTGGGCCCTCCTTCCCAGTGTTTTGAACTCCAACTCCCACAATTCCTAATAGTCAGTAGGTTGTTAAGAATTATGGAAGTTGAAGTCCAAAACACCTGGAGGGCCCAAGTTGGCCCATGCCTGCTCTATTATTACTGTTATTATATTTTCATTATTTTATTCTATTATTATTATTACATTATTATTTTACTTTATTGTTGTTATTACATTTATTATTTTACTCTATTATTATTGTTGTTGTTATTATTGCATTTATTATTTTACACTGTTATTATTATTGTTATTGCATTTATTATTTTACTCAATTACAGGCATGGGCAAACTTGGGCCCTCCCTCCAGGTGTTTTGGATTCCAACTCCCACAATTCCTAACAGCCAATTGTGGGAGTTGAAGTCCAAAACACCTGGAGGGGCCAAAGTTTGCCCATGCCTGGTGTATTATCATGACTGTTATTACTACATTTCCATTATTTTACTCTATTATTATATTTTATTATTTTATTACTATTTATTATTATTGGAAGGATAGTAGCGCATTTACATTGAAGAAGGTTAGAATAATGATTTAATCAGAGTTGGGCAGTCTTATCTCAAATTACAGTTTTATGTAAATATTCAAAAACATTTCACCTCCTGATGCCTCAATTAATGTCATTTTATTGGTATCTATTTTTATTTTGAAAGTGACCCATAGCGGCCGCCTCTCCCACCCTCGGCTTATACTCGAGGCAATACGTTTTCCCAGTTTTTGTGGTAAAATTAGGTGTCTTGGGTTATATTCGAGTCGGCTTATACTCAAGTATATACGGTATATAGCTATAGTATCAGCCTTGTTGACATTACACATTTTTCTGCTTTAACTCAATGGCCTGTATTTTCACTCTCTCTCTCTGCTTCCTTCCCTCCTTCCTTCCTTCCTTCAATCCATCCATCCATCCATCTATCCATCCATCTCTCCTTCCTTCCTTCCATCCATCCATCCATCTCTCCTTCCATCCATCCATCCATCCATCTCTCCATCCATCCATCCATCCATCTCTCCTTCCTTCCATCCATCCATCCATCCATCCATCCATCTCTCCTTCCATCCATCTCTCCTCCCTTCCTTCCTTGTTGACATTACACACTTTTCTGCTTTAACTCAATGGCCTGTATTTTCACTCTCTCTCTGCTTCCTTCCTTCCATCCATCCATCCATCCATCTATCCATCCATCTCTCCTTCCTTCCTTCCATCCATCCATCCATCCATCTCTCCTTCCATCCATCCATCCATCCATCTCTCCATCCATCCATCCATCCATCTCTCCTTCCTTCCATCCATCCATCCATCCATCCATCTCTCCTTCCATCCATCTCTCCTCCCTTCCTCCCTTCCTTGTTGACATTACACGCTTTTCTGCTTTAACTCAATGGCCTGTATTTTCACTCTCTCTCTCTGCTTCCTTCCTTCCTTCCTTCCATCCATCCATCCATCCATCCATCCATCCATCTATCCATCCATCTCTCCTTCCTTCCATCCATCCATCCATCTCGCCTTCCATCCATCCATCCATCTCTCCATCCATCCATCCATCTCTCCTTCCTTCCATCCATCCATCCATCTCTCCTTCCATCCATCTCTCCTCCCTTCCTCCCTTCCTTGTTGACATTACACACTTTTCTGCTTTAACTCAATGGCCTGTATTTTCACTCTCTCTCTGCTTCCTTCCATCCATCCATCCATCCATCCATCCATCCATCTCTCCTTCCTTCCTTCCTTCCATCCATCCATCCATCTCTCCATCCATCCATCCATCCATCCATCTCTCCTTCCATTCATCCATCTCTCCATCCATCCATCCATCCATCCATCCATCCATCCATCTCTCCTCCCTTCGTCCCTTCCTTCCTTCCTTCCTCCCTTCCTTCCTTCCTTCCTTCCTTCCATCCATCCATCCATCCATCCATCTCTCCTTCCTTCCTTCCTTCCTTCCTTCCTTCCTTCCTTCCCTCCCTCACTCACTCACTCACTCACTCACTTTCTCCCTGCTTCCTTCCTCCCTCCCTCCTTCCCTTCCCCGAAATGCAGCCTACATCTGCTCCAACCAGATCATGGGCTGGGGAGAGAAAGCCATTGAGATCCGCTCGGTGGAGACGGGCCACCTGGACGGGGTCTTCATGCACAAGCGGGCCCAGCGCCTCAAGTTCCTCTGCGAGCGCAACGACAAGGTGGGCTCACCATGCACATCCTTCCTCGAGCCATATTGGGGGCCTAGAGCCATTTGTCTTCTGCATGTGTACAGCATTGCTCTCCGTTTCAGTTTGTTTCATTTGTAAGGCCCCGTTTTTGTTTTCGAGCACCTCTTCCAGAAATGGCTGCCTTTCCAAATAAGAGTTTCTGTCCAAAGTTCAAAAAAACCTGAATATTTTCGGCCCAGTGGTGCCAAATAATAATAATAATAATAATAATAATAATAATAATAATAATAATAATAACTTTGTATTGTCGAAGGCTTTCATGGCTGGAATCACTAGGTTCTTGTGAGTTTTTTTGGGCTATAGGGCCATGTTCTAGAGGCATTTCTCCTGACGTTTCGCCTGCATCTATGGCAAGCATCCTCAGAGGTAGTGAGGTCTGTTGGAATAGGACAATGGGTTTATATATCTGTGGAATGACAAAGACTCTTGTCTGCTGGAGCTAGGTGTGAATGTTTCAACTGACCACCTTGATTAGCATTTGATGGCTTGGAAGTGCCTGGGGGGAATCTGTTGAGAGGTGATTTGATGTGCCTGATTGTTTACTCTCTGTTGCTTTGCTGGTGTAACAGACCTCACTACCTCTGAGGATGCTTGCCATAGATGCAGGCGAAACGTCAGGAGAAATGCCTCTGGAACATGGCCCTATAGCCCAAAAAAACCTACAAGAACCTAATAATAACGTTATTTCTATACCGCTCTATCTCCCCGAGGGGACTCAGAGCGGTTCCTAGGTAACACCACAAAACATACAGAGTAAAACAACATAACCATAAGATTAACAAAACAATATAAGCATAAACATTATTGCCACAACACACATCTATTAAAAGTAATCCTGCCTGTTCAAGGCAATTAAAAATCTAAAAGGCTGGGCCAAGATTGGTGCAAGCCCAAAAATTCTCGGGGGCCCAGGAATTAAGTGCAATGCTATGGCAGGCAACAATAATATTCGGTAGGGGTCTGTGGCTGTTCATTCCGGGGCCGATTAGAGCAGTGGTTCTCAACCTTGCTAATGCCGTGACCCCTTAATGCAGTCCCCTATGTTGTGGTGACCCCCAACCATAATATTGTTTTCGTTGCTACTTGATACCTGTCATTTTAATACAGATATAAATCGTAATGTAAATATCCGATATGCAGGATATATTTTCATTCACTGGACTAAATTGAGCACAAATACCAAATTTTGTAATTTGGGAGTTGTAGTTGCTGGGATTTATAGTTCACCTATAATCAAAAAGCATTCTGAACTCCACCAGCGATGGATTTAAACCAAACTTGGCACAAAGAACTCCCATGACCAACAGAAAACACTGGAAGCGTTTTGTGGGCATTGACCTTGTGTTTTGGAGTTGTAGTTCACCTATATCCAGAGGAGCACTGTGGATTCATGCAATGATGGATCTGGACCAAACTTGGCACGAATACTCAGTATGCCCAAATGTGAACACTGGTAGAGTCTGGGGGAAATAGACCTTGACATCTGGGAGTTGTAGTTGTTGGGATTTATAGTTCACCTACAATCAAAGAGCATTCTGAACTCGACCAACAATAGAATTGGGTCAAACTTCCCACACAGAATCCCAATGACCAACAGAAAATACTATGTTTTCTGATGGTCTTTGGCGACCCCTTTGACACCCCCTCACGACCCCCTCAGGGGTCCCGACCCCCAGGTTGAGAAACACTGGATTAGAGGAAAGAATCTGAGTAGTTGGTAGGAAGAGTAAGGCCGCATTCGACAATGTGTGGGCTGAGTTAGAACTGGTCATTCTCACTCCGAAGGGGGGCTCAGGGCGGCTAACACAGGCAACAATTCAATGCCAACAATAACAGTAACAACAATATAAAAGCCAAGTACATAGTAAATTAAAACAGTAATATTAATTAAATATTACATAATCACATAGTATATTTGTCATGTCAGAAACAACCAGTCTAACAGAACAAAGCAAACAAACAGAAAAATACACAACTTGTGAGTTTGGTAGCTGGTTAAATGTCCTTTGACCAGTATCTGGCCCCTTGGAGTGCTTCCGGTGTTGCTGCAAGAAGGTCCTCCATTGTGCATGTGGCAGGGCTCAGGTTGCATTGCAGCAGGTGGTCAGTGGTTTGCTCTTCTCCACACTCACATGTCGAGGATTCTACTTTGTAGCCCCATTTCTCAAGGTTGGCTCTGCATCTCGTGGTGCCAGAGCACAGTCTGTTCAATGCCTTCCAAGTCGCCCAGTCTTCTGTGTGCCCGGGGGGGAGTCTCTCGTTTGGTATCAGCCATTGGTTGAGGTGCTGGGTTTGAGCCTGCCACTTTTGGACTCTCGCTTGCTGAGGTGTTCCAGCGAGTGTCTCTGTAGATCTTAGAAAACTATGTCTAGATTTAAGTCGTTGGCGTGCTGGCTGATACCCAAACAGGGGATGAGCTGGAGATCACATAGTTATGTGCACGCATTGTATTTTTATTTTTCGGCTTTTTAAGTCTCTTCCACTGTGTTTTCCAATGTTTTTATGAGTGATGTTCACTCGTTGGCCTGATAGATGTATTGTGTCTATATTTATTTATTTTATTTATTTATTTGCAGTATTTATATTCCGCCCTTCTCACCATGCAGGGGACTTAGGGCGGATTAAAATGTATATATATACATGGCAAACATTCAATGCCATAGACACACAACATATATGGACAGACACTCAGAGGCTGTTTAACTTTCCAGCTTTCCATCTTCAGGAGGATATGTGTCAGACTGTAGGATCTATATAGCAATATTAAATAACCACTCACAAGCCGTTTTTGCTTTGAAATTGATATATTGCTTGTATCTGTTAATCACACAAACTAACATTACATTTTTATTTATATAGACAATGGCACACACCCCATTAGTTTATGGTGTTGTAAATTAGTTGAATTACCCTCCCCACATAAGCGGTACCTTAATTTCCTACTTGACAGATGCAACTGTCTTTCGGGCTGCAAAGGTCGACAACAAGCTATACAAATTGGTTGGAAGGATGAGTTCAGCGGACAGAACGTTCCTGCGTTTGGGAGGGTCTTTTGGAGGCCCCAGTGGGGGGGGGGCTCCTGTGGGGAGGGGGTGTCCCAGGTAAGGGGCCCAGGAGCTCCGCCTCCTTTGTACATGACCCTCTTCCTTCTCTCTCCCCCCCCCAATCTTTTTGCAGGTGTTCTTTGCCTCGGTGCGGTCCGGGGGCAGCAGCCAGGTGTACTTCATGACCCTGAACAGGAACTGCATCATGAACTGGTGAAAGGGGCGGGGCGTAGCCCCTCCCCTCCCTCCCCCCTTGCCAAGGGAGGAAGACGAGGGGGGCAGACGTACCCCGCCCCTCTTTCCCTCGGCTGCCATTTTGGGAAGGAGACGCCCCCCCCAACGCGCCCTGCCTGCCTTGCTCTTCTCTCTTTGACCCCATTTCAGGGCATATTTGGGGGGGGGCACCCTTTGACCCCTGGGAGGAGGACCACCCCCCATTTTGGGTAGCCATTTTGGGGGGAGACCCTCTGAGGTCACGACCTGTTCCCCCTCCCACCCTCCCTCCTCACCACCATCATCCCAGAATGCCTCAGCAGGAGGATCAAAGCCAAATCATGTAAATAAATAGGCAAAACGTTGGGGGGGGGCTGCTTCATCGGACGGATCCCCCCCCCCCCCCGCATCCATCAAATCAGAGGGAACCCTCCTCTCTCTCTCTCCCATTTTATCAACTTGGCAGTGAGGCTCATTGGGGAGGGGGCTGCCAAGGTATTGCCTTTGGGGGAGGAAGGGAAGTCCTGCCCCTTTAAGGAGACCCCCTCCTCTTCCTCCTCCTTGCCCCCCCCCCCATCTTTAGCACAATCCCCTCCCCCCAATTCACCCCAAATGGCACACACTCAAAGTGCAGCAAGAGCGCAAACACAAAGTGAGGCTGCTCTTGAGTCCCCGTACCCCCCCCCCCTGCCCCGACGCCCCTTCCCAGCTCCACGGGCTTTGCAAATGCTCCGCCCCTTCCCCGACCCCCCCATGAGCATGTGATGCGTTTCCCCCCTTTTGCCCCCCTCCCCCCCCATTGCAGCTCATGGGGCGACGATGTCTGTGGATGTATATCAGAATCATTCTCCTCCGCGCCCCCCCCCCAATTCCCCGTCGCAAGAGGGGGGGCGCCGAGTTGTGTATATTTTGCTTTCATGATCATTCTTTTGTAATTGCGGTTGGAGAGTCATTAACTAACAAAGCACTTTAACGGCCCAGAGGGAGGGGGGGAGGGGGCATGGGGGGGGGAGAGCCATCAGCACTTAGGCCTTGATTTGTGTGACAGCCCCCCCCCACAACCCCCCAAGGGTCAGCAGGTGCAGCCATGTTGGGGAGGGGGGCGCTACATTGGGCACCCACCCCCACTGTCCCCTACAAAGGGGGGTGGTCCTGCGTCCCGCCATCTGCCCGGCCTTCGATGGGGAGACCCCCCCCCCTTTTCCTGGGCGACTTGGTTTCTTGTGCTTGCGTTTGTACATAACTCTCTCTCTCTCTCTCTCTCTCTTTGCCCCCCACCCCCCAAAAGAAGGGAGCTGCCCCTCCAAACAAGGAACATTAGCGGTGGCCTTGGCATTTCATCTGTTAATAAAAGAACCAAACCTCGCGCTTCTCCCACCGCTTCTGATCCTTCTTTCCTTCCTGCGGCCAAACAAACACCTTGGGGGGGGGGGTCGGGGGGGGGGATCGGGGATTCCACCAAAACAATGCACCAGGTATGGGTCAACTTGTGTCCCCCCCTCCAGGTGTATCATTCCACTTTAGTAGGAGTAACAGTACTTGCTAGAACAGGCCTGGGCAAACTTTGGCTCTTCCTCCAGGTGTTTAGGACTTCCACAACTTGGATATGCAGATGACCCTTTGGTTGACTTAAGTGTCCAGTTCCACAACAACAAAGACATGGGCCAACTTGGGCCCTCCCTCCAGGTGTTTTGGACTCTAGCTATTACAAAGTTGGGATACAGATGACCCCTTGGTTGACTTAAGTGTCCAGTTCCACGAGGACAAAGGCATGGGCTAACTTCAGCCCTCCCTCCAGGTGTTTTGTACTTAAGACTCCCATAACATGGGTATGCAGATGATCCCTTGATTGACTTGTTCGGTTCCACAAGGAGAAAGGCATGAGCCAACTTAGACCCTCCCTCCAGGTGTTTTGGTCTTCAGCTCCCACAACGTGTGTATGCAGTTGACCCCTTGATTGACTTAAGTGTCCAATTCCACAACGACAAAGGCATGGGCCAACTTCAGCCCTCCTTCCAGGTGTTTTGGACTTAAGACTCCCATAACGTGGGTATGCAGATGACCCCTTGATTGACTTACGTGTCCAGTTCCACGAGAATAAAGGCATGGGCCAACTTTGGCCCTCCCTCCAGGTGTTTTGGACTCCAACTCCCACAACGTGGGTATGCAGATGACCCTTTGGTTGACTTGAGTGTCCAGTTCCAAGGGGACAAAGGCATGGGCCAACTTCAGCCCTCCCTCCAGGTGTTTTGGATTCTTAACTACCACAACATGGGTATGCAGATGATCCCTTGATTGACTTGTCCAGTTCCACGAGGACAAAGGCATGAGCCAACTTCGGCCCTCCCTCCAGGTGTTTTGGGCTCCCAACTCCCACAATATGGGCATGGAGATGACTCCTTGATTGACTCAAGTGTCTATCCTGAGTTCCCTTGGGGAGACTCACAATTCCTAACAGCCTACCAAAGTTGGCGCATGCCTGACCTATGGGAATGCCTCTTTGGGCTGCCTTGTCCACTACTATCCCTCCAGGTGCTTTGGACTCCCAACTCCCACAACATGGGGTATGCAAGTGGCCCCTTGAGTGACTTGAGTGTCCAGTTTCACAAGGACAAAGACATGGGCAAACTTCAGCCCTCCCTCCAGGTGTTTTGTGCTCCCAACTCCCACAACATGGCTATGCAGATGACCCCTTGAGTGACTGAATTAGTCCCACGAGGACAAAGGCATGGGTCAACTTCAGTCCTCCCTCCAACTCTTTTCCATTACAACTCCCACAACTTGGATATGCAGATGATCCCTTGAGTGACTTAACTGTCCAGTTTCACGAGGACAAAGGTATGGGCCAACTTCGGCCCTCCCTCCAGGTGTTTTGTGCTCCCAACTCCCACAACACAGGTATGCAGATGGCCCCTTGAGTGACTTAACTAGTTCCACAAGGACAAAGACATGGGCCAACTTCAGCCCTCCTTCTAGGTGTTTTGGATTTAAGACTCCCATAACGTGGGTATGCAGATGATCTTTTGAGTGACTTCAGTGTCCGTCCTGAGTCTACTTGGGTATATAGGGCAGATTACAAATAAAGCTTACTATTATTGTGTGTCCAGTTTCAAGGGGACAAAGGCATGGACTTCAACTCCCACAATTCCTTACTTCCTACCAAAGTTGACCCATGCCTGACCTATGGGAATGCCTCTTCAGGCTGCCTTGTCCACTACTCTCCCTGCAGTTGCTTTGGACTCCCAACTCCCACAACGTGGGTATACAGATGACCCCTTGAGTGACTTAACTATAAGGACAAAGACATGGGCCAGCTTGGACCCTCCCTCCAACTGTTTTGCATTCCAACTCCCACAACAATGGGTATGCAGGTGACCCCTTGATTGACTTAAGTGTCCAGTTCCACGAGGACAAAGGCATGGGCTAACTTCAGCCCTCCCTCCAGGTGTTTTGGTCTTCAGCTCCCACAACGTGTGTATGCAGTTGACCCCTTGATTGACTTAAGTGTCCAGTTCCACGAGGACAAAGGCATGGGCCAACTTCAGCCCTCCTTCCAGGTGTTTTGGACTTAAGACTCCCACAACGTGGGTATGCAGATGACCCCTTGATTGACTTACGTGTCCAGTTCCACGAGAATAAAGGCATGGGCCAACTTTGGCCCTCCCTCCAGGTGTTTTGGACTCCAACTCCCACAACGTGGGTATGCAGATGACCCTTTGGTTGACTTGAGTGTCCAGTTCCAAGGGGACAAAGGCATGGGCCAACTTCAGCCCTCCCTCCAGGTGTTTTGGATTCTTAACTACCACAACATGGGTATGCAGATGACTCCTTGGTTGATTTAAGTGTCCGTCCTGAGTCCACTTGGGGAGATAGGGCGGAATACAAATATTCCGCCCTATCTCCCCCTGTGTCCAGTTCCAAGGGGACAAAGACATGGACTTCAATTCCCACAATTCCTTACTTCCTACCAAAGTTGGCCCGTGCTGGACCTATGGGAATGCTTCTTCGGGCTGCCTTGTCCACTACTATCCTTCCGGGTGCTTTGGACTCCAAGCTCCCACAATGTGTGTGTGCAGATGATCCCTTGAGTGACTTAACCAGTTCCACAAGGACAAAGACATGGGCCAACTTGGGCCTTCCCTCCAGGTGTTTTGGACTTCAACCCTCGCAATTCCTAACTACCTACCGGCTGTTAGAAATTATGGGAGTTGGAGTCCAAAACACCTGGAGGGAGGGCCTGCATTACACTATGAAACACTGATTTTTTGTTCCTGGGTAATCAATGTCATTTCCTAATTGAGTCTATCATTAAAACATGGGGGAAATGTATTAAACTGCCGGAACTTGCCCATTTTGCTCTAATTTTCCAGTGAATTTCTCATCATCGAGTCTCAACCAATTACAACGTAGTTTGTGGCAGCCACAAAAAACAAGTCAGGACCGCACAATTAAATAGGAATAGCATTTTCAAACCAGGAACGGAACATTTTGCAAATTTTGTTATTAAATGTTATTAGGAAAAAAACTCTCGTTTGAAAGTCGAATCTGCCACTCATTTGGAAGTTTGGTGGAGCCGCCTTCCTTCCCCGGAGGCTTTTGGATTGAGGTTGCATGGACATCTGTTGGGAGGGTTTGCATGGTGGCTCTGCAGAGCAGAAAAGGGTTGGACTGGATGACCTCTGGGGGTCCCTTCCATAACTTAAACAAACTCAGCAGGTGCTTTGTATTTTGTGTCGAAGGCAGGATGGTGCCTGATTTATAGTTTTCTCCTTCCTCAATTATTCCCTCCCTAAATATACTCTGCACCGGATCAATTGTCTCAGTGGCAAGCTATAAAAATAAACCTATACATAGCAGAGTCCTTATCAGTGGTCAGCAGAGTTTTACAGTACAGCCCAATGTGCCACTCACTGTTTAAGAAAACTCCGCTTTTGTCCAAACTCAGTGGAGGCTTTTAATCTTGACACGTTGCTTTTTGCACAAATATACACTCGCACATCGGGATCCCCTGATCTCCCCTCAACCATGCAGAGGTATACTCACAACACAACCGGTGTACCGTGAGAAGCAAGAGAATCGTGGCAAGAGAAAGAATGCACACCCGCTCGTCAACCAGGGACAAAAGCGTCATGAGTATCACATGGGACATCTGTTTATATCAGTATGCACTCCATATGTATTGAGATGGGATGCATACTCTCCTCATCACACCTGATTATACTGCATTTTAGCTCATTCGATGGAAGGCTGGCTCCTCCCAATCCATTCAAAACACCCCCTGCATCACTCTATGACCTTTTAAGACATATCGTTGCTGATGGGATGCAGAGAGATTTTCCTATCATACACGAAACCAGCTCTTCAGCAACAGAAATATCCGTAATATCTCTAAAAAACACAATTAGAGTTCCGTCTGCAAATAATCTTCAGACGAATTTCAACAGAATACTGATGGGATGGGGCACACAGCATGTGATGGGACCTATTTGAAATCATTCTCGCAGTCTCAGAAACTGAGTATTTCCTAATGCAATAACTTCCATGGTCATGATTCAGCTTCTTTAGGATGTCCCATCATCACCCAATTAACTCTTTAGTAGGTGTGTGATCACATGTCCATTCGAACTGTATTTTCCACTAGTTTAACACAATAGGGTTACAGTGAGTGCATTCCTAAGTGTTTTATCTATCTAACATTTTGGACTTCAACTACCACAATTGTTATCAGCCGAAAACATTCAGAAGGCACTGCCCAGTGACACGCAGGTGCAAGGAAAGGGAAACTACTGCTGAGACAATACTGTTAGCGTTATCGGAAGTTTTGCACAGGCTTAGAAGAAAACATGAACTCTGGAGATGTCTGGTTACAAAGCAGGTTCAATTTACTTAGAGTAGTTTCAAAACACATCCATTCCAGTAAGCAACCAGACATGAAATACACAGGACAAAGGAGGAGATTCCATCTGAACACGAGGAAGAACTTCCTGACTGTGAGAGCCGTTCAGCAGTGGAACTCTCTGCCCTGGAGTGTGGTGGAGGCTCCTTCTTTGGAAGCTTTTAAACAGAGGCTGGATGGCCATCTGTCAGGGGTGATTTGAATGCGATGTTCCTGCTTCTTGGCAGAATGGGGTTGGACTGGATGGCCCATGAGGTCTCTTCCAACTCTTTGATTCTATGATTCTATGAAGTAGAAGTGTAAACAATTCTGCAGCTGTTTGGCAGATACCAGATACTCCCCAATTTTCTCACAACTCCAGACAGAGAGTGTCTCAGGGTTACTTTCTCACAGCCTCAAACATAGACATCACAGCAATACAATCCTGTGGCATCCATATTTCTACTGCATGAAATTACATTTAAAACACACTACATACTTTAACATATACTGACAAATACCGATAAGGACTGGTGCCAAAGGCACAAAGGAAGAGATAAAGGCAAGGCATGGTTCAAATGAAATTAGCCTGTGCGCACGCTCAAGGTGTTCACTATCAAACAGAGCTGCGTCTCAGTTCAGTGTGGCACTTTCTCTTTTGTCCACCCAGCAGGGAGGTTTGTTCAAATAAACCTGTTGAATGATCTCCTTGCTTCTTGGCACCCAAACAGAGACCTGAGCGTATCCCAGCAACACCTTGATGGGACCTCCTTGAGATTCCCACAGATCCTCTGCCTCAGCTGGACCCCAAGAATCATAGAATCATAGAATCAAAGAGTTGGAAGAGACCTCCTGGGCCATCCAGTCCAACCTCATTCTGCCAAGAAGCAGGAATATTGCATTCAAATCACCCCTGACAGATGGCCACCCAGCCTCTGTTTCAAAGCTTCCAAAGAAGGAGCCTCCACCACACTCTGGGACAGAGAGTTCCACTGCTGAACGCCTCTCACAGTCAGGAAGTTCTTCCTCATGTTCAGGTGGGATCTCCTCTCTTGTAGTTTGAAGCCATTGTTCTGCGTCCTAGTCTCCAAGGAAGCAGAAAACAAGCTTGCTCCCTCCTCCCTGTGGCTTCCTCTCACATATTTATACATGGCTATCATATCCCCTCTCAGCCTTCTCTTCTTCAGGCTGTACATGCCCAGCTCCTTAAGCCGCTCCTCATAGGGCTTGTTCTCCAGACCTTTTATCATTTTAGTCTGGAGAACAAGCCCTATGAGGAGCGGCTTAAGGAGCTGGGCATGTACAGCCTGAAGAAGAGAAGGCTGAGAGGGGATATGATAGCCATGTATAAATATGTGAGAGGTGCTTCCCTTTATCTCTCCCAGCTATGATTCTATATATTTAACATATTCTATGGTTGCTTCAAACTCTATTATTCTATATACCGTATTTACTCGAGTCTAATGCACCATCGAATCTAATGCGCACCTCAATTTTCAAAATCCCGAAACCAAATAAAGTATGTGCTGCTGAATATAATGCATAGCAGCAAAAAGTGCACTCTTCATTAAGTCACCCTGTGGAGAGAAAAAGTGGGGTATTATTATTATTATTATTATTAATAATAATAATAATAATAATAATAATAGGCAATTTGGCCAAAAAAAGTGCATCACAGTTTCTGCCTGCGTAGGATTCCTTCTTTGAAAACAAGTGTTAGGACAATTGCAAAGCAAACTGCCAAAGGATGCGGGTGCCTCAGAAAACTACAAATCCCATTGAGACGTTATATTAGATATGAGGTCCCTCAAACAGGAGCTCCAGGTGCAGATCCTGGAGCACCTTTTTCCACTAAGAATCATAGATTCAAAGAATCAAAGAGTTGGAAGAGACCTCCGGGGCCATCCAGTCCACCCCCATTCTGCCAAGAAGCAGGAATATTGCATTCAAATCACCCCTGACAGATGGCCATCCGGCCTCTGCTTAAAAGCTTCCAAAGAAGGAGCCTCCACCACACTCCCTCCGGGGCAGAGAGTTCCACTGCTGAACGGCTCTCACAGTCAGGAAATTCTTTCTAATGTTCAGATGGAATCTCCTCTCTGATGACTATATTATGTGAATCTAATGTGCGCCTTAATTTTGGCCGAGATCATTTAGGTGAGCATTAGATTCGAGTAAATAGTGGTATCTAATCTATTCTATGGTTCTATATATGGTCTCTTCCAACTATATGATTCTATATATTTAATTATTCTACCTACTTGGCCTTTGGGGGTCTCTTCCAGTCCTGAGACCCTTGGACTCTCAGCCCCAATTACAGGAGATGTTTGTTGTACTAGATGGCCTTTGGGGGTCCCTCCCAGCCCTGAGACCCCCATTGAAGAGCCCTATAAGGAGGCAGTGGTATAGCGGACCCTCACGGCCCCCAGGGCGTCTCCCCCGCGACCCACACTGTAGCAGGACAGTCGACTCTCCCTCTGTGACCTCTCTGACCTGGCTGGTTTGGCCGGCAGACTGACCAGGAGCCAGGAGACATGGCCCACCGGGAAGGTCTTGCAGACGCGGAAGGTCGGGTGCCCGGACAATGCTCCGCCACCAACCCATGGTTCCTGAGACTCCACTTCTGCCCGGAGCGGCTGGTACCTGAGCAGGTGGGCCTCTGGGGTGTGCTGGAGGGCTGACCGGTGGGGGTGATGGCCGCAGCACAGGACACAGAGCAGGGCCAAGGAGGGCAGGGCCACCAACACCAGGCAGAACAAGTACAGCGCCAGGCGGAGCGGGCAGCAGTGGCTGGACAGCCAGCCTCCCCAGGTCAGACGAGGGCGGCGGTGGCGGAGGGGGCTGCGATGGTGGGCAGTGGCTGGGCAGAGGCAGTGGGCAGTGGGGGCGGGAGGGACCACACATGTGGTTGTGGGCATAGAAGTGGTCAAGGGTCCAGTTGTGGTCTCTGGAGAGGAGGCAGATGTGGGCACAGGCACCAAAGTGGAGGACATGGTCAGAGCAGTGTTGGTGCTGGGGTCAAAGGTCGTGGCTGAAGGCCTTGGGGTGGAGTGTCCAGTAGTGAACCTTGGAGAGGACATAGAGGTGGTTGTAGGTGCCGAAGGGGTGGTGGAAGTCATTGTGGGTTCATCCGGGATCATAGTGGTGCTGGCTGTTGTGGTGGAGTGTCCAGTAGTGAACCATGGTTGGGATGTAGTGGTGGTCATAGGTGCCGAAGGGGTGGTGAAAGTCGTCGAGGGGTCACCTGGGGTCAGAGTGGTGCTGGGGTCAAAAGTTGTGGCTGGAGGCCTTGGGGTGGTGGGTCTGGTAGTGAACCTTGGAGAGGACATAGTACTTGTTGTAGGCGTCGAAGGGATAGCAGACATTGTTGAGGGGACACCTGGGGTCAGAGCTGTGGTCTTGGGAGCAAAGGTCGTGGCAATGGGCATGGCAGAGGTCAAGTGTGGTGTCATGGTAGTTGTGGGGACGATTGCGGCCATGGTGGAGGACGCCGTGGTGGTCAAGGGGCTGCTGGGATGACCCTCCTCCTCTCCTCCATCCTCCTCTTTCGCCCCTCCATCGCTGTCCCCAAGCGTCCGGCACTGAGACTGGAAGTGCATAACGGGGGTGCCCTTCTCTTTGGCCGGAGCCTGGCAGCGGACACTCTCGGGCTCGTTCTCGGTGACCTCCTTCTCGCCCACTTGGGCCCGCGTGTAGACGGCAAACTCGTTGTCGTTCAGCCACTCCCGCAGGTAGACGAGGTCGCAATCACAGCGCCAGGGGTTTCCCACCAGGTAGACGTAGGCGAAGGTGTTCTCCTCCGGGAAGAAGCCTTCTGGGACGTGGCGCAGGCGGTTCCGCTCCAGCCGCAGGATCTCCAGTGCGCTCAGACCGGACAGCAGCTCCGCCGGAAGCTCTTCCAGCTCATTGTCCGAAAGGTCCAGGTCTTTCAGGTCGGATAGACCTCGGAAGACTTCGGTGGGCAATTGCCGGAGACGGTTTCCTTGCAGCTGGAGTTCCTGGAGGCCCTTCACCTCCTTGAAGCCCCCCTCGGGCAGTCTCTCCAGACCATTGTGGCCCAAGGTCAAGCGGGTCAAGGCGGGGAGGCCGTGCAAGGCGGGCAAGGAGCCCAAGGCATTGTGGGAGAGAAACAAGCTATGGAGGGCCGCCAGTGGGGACTTGGCCTGGGTCTCCAAGGTGGCCAGGCTGTTGTTGGAGAGGTCCAGCTCGGTCAGCTGGTCAAACGGCAGTAAGGTGGCCAAAGAGAAGTGCTCGAAGCAGTTGGAGGTCAGGAACAGGAGGCCGGTGTCCGGAGGCAGCCCCGCAGGGAGGGCGGTCAAGCCTCGGTCCTCGCAGCTCACCTGCAGCAGGTCCTTGATCTTGTTCATCTCTGACTCGCAAGGGGAGGGAGCGGCCGCAGCGATGGACAACAGCCAGGCCAGGATGACCAGCTGCATCTGGGGCACGAGGAGAGGAAGAGGAAGTCAGGCACCAGGAAAAGAGAGAGAGAGAGAGAGAGAGAGAGAGAGAGAGAGATGTCCTCCTCGAGCAGAGGCTGGATGGCCATCTGTCAGGAGTTTCCCAAAGGCTTTGCTATTCTGTGCATTGTCCTCTTGCAGCCCAGGAAACCGGTCCCATTACTGACCCTTCCCTTGGGGGATGATGGGACTTGCAGTCCAAGTAAATAATTTCTCAAAGGCTCTGCTCTGTGCATTTGCATCTCGGCAAATTAATTGCATTAGTTAACCTCCCCCCTTTTAGGGATTATGGGACTTGGAGTCCAAGCAATAGAGTTTTAAAGTGGGTTATATTATTATTATTATTATTATTATTATTATTATTATTAGAAACACAACAAGATGAGTCCACAGCAGACACTCTACTTGCAGTCCAAGTCAATAATTTCTCAAGGACTCTGCTCTGTGCATTTGCATCTCAGCAAATTAATTGCATTAGTGAACCTCCCCCCTCTTGGGGATTATGGGACTTGGAGTCCAAGCAATAGAATTTTAGAGTGGGTTGTTGTTGTTATTATTATTATTATTTGAAACACAAGATGAGTCCACAGCAGACACTCTACTGGCTGTTGTATTGGATCACATGTTGGACACTTCCCAAGTGTCTAGGATTATTATTATATTTATTATATTTATTATATTTATTATATTATTTTATATTATTATTATTATTATTATTATTATTATTATTATTATTATTAGAAACACAAGACAATTCCACAGCAGACACTCTACTGGCTGTTGTATTGGATCACACGTCAGACATTTCCCAAGTGCCTAGGACTATTATTATTATTATTATTTATTTATTTATTTATTTATTTTTATATTATTATTATTATTATTATTATTATTATTTATTTTTATATTATTATTATTATTTATTTATTTTTATATTATTATTATTATTACTATTATTATTGCCTATTTATACCCCGCTTTATTTCTCTTGCAAGAGACTCCAAAGCAGCTTAACATAAAAGCATCAGCAAACAATTTCAAAATATAATACAAATGTGCAAACATGAAAACAGGATGGCTTTTGGGGGTCCCGTCTAAGGCTATGATTCAGAATCCAATTTCGGTCTTTGAATCAGAGGCTGGATGGCCATCTGTCAGGAGGGGTTGAATGGTGTCTTCCTGAGCATGTGCAATTTTAGAGTGGGTTTTTATTATTATTATACACAGTATGTCACAGCAAACGAGATCTATATGCTGGATATTATTATTATTATTATTATTATTATTATTATTGTCCACAGACCCATCAGTGAACAATTATTATTATTATTATTATTATTATTATTATTATTATTATTATTATTATTCTGTCACAAAAACACAGTATGACACAGCAAATGAGATCTATATGCTGGATTATTATTATTATTATTATTATTATTATTATTATTATTATTATTATTTCTGGCACAAAAGCACAGTATGTCACAGCAAACGAGATCTATATGCTGGATATTATTATTATTATTATTATTATTATTATTATTATTATTTTACTGGCACAAAAGCACAGTATGTCACAGCAAACGAGATCTATATGCTGGATATTATTATTATTATTATTATTATTATTATTATTATTATTATTATTTTTACTGGCACAAAAGCACAGTATGTCACAGCAAACGAGATCTATATGCTGGATATTATTATTATTATTATTATTATTATTATTATTATTATTATTTTACTGGCACAAAAGCACAGTATGTCACAGCAAACGAGATCTATATGCTGGATATTATTATTATTATTATTATTATTATTATTATTATTATTACTGGCACAAAAGCACAGTATGTCACAGCAAACGAGATCTATATGCTGGATATTATTATTATTATTATTATTATTATTATTATTATTTTACTGGCACAAAAGCACAGTATGTCACAGCAAACGAGATCTATATGCTGGATATTATTATTATTATTATTATTATTATTATTATTTTACTGGCACAAAAGCACAGTATGTCACAGCAAACGAGATCTATATGCTGGATATTATTATTATTATTATTATTATTATTTTACTGGCACAAAAGCACAGTATGTCACAGCAAACGAGATCTATATGCTGGATATTATTATTATTATTATTATTATTATTATTTTACTGGCACAAAAGCACAGTATGTCACAGCAAACGAGATCTATATGCTGGATATTATTATTATTATTATTATTATTATTATTTTACTGGCACAAAAGCACAGTATGTCACAGCAAACGAGATCTATATGCTGGATATTATTATTATTATTATTATTATTATTATTTTACTGGCACAAAAGCACAGTATGTCACAGCAAACGAGATCTATATGCTGGATATTATTATTATTATTATTATTATTATTTTATTTTACTGGCACAAAAGCACAGTATGTCACAGCAAACGAGATCTATATGCTGGATATTATTATTATTATTATTATTATTATTATTATTATTATTTTACTGGCACAAAAGCACAGTATGTCACAGCAAACGAGATCTATATGCTGGATATTATTATTATTATTATTATTATTATTATTATTATTTTACTGGCACAAAAGCACAGTATGTCACAGCAAACGAGATCTATATGCTGGATATTATTATTATTATTTATTATTATTATTATTATTATTTTACTGGCACAAAAGCACAGTATGTCACAGCAAACGAGATCTATATGCTGGATATTATTATTATTATTATTATTATTATTATTATTTTACTGGCACAAAAGCACAGTATGTCACAGCAAACGAGATCTATATGCTGGATATTATTATTATTATTATTATTATTATTATTATTATTATTTTACTGGCACAAAAGCACAGTATGTCACAGCAAACGAGATCTATATGCTGGATATTATTATTATTATTATTATTATTATTATTATTTTACTGACACAAAAGCACAGTATGTCACAGCAAACGAGATCTATATGCTGGATATTATTATTATTATTATTATTATTATTATTATTATTATTTTACTGACACAAACACAGTATGTC